CAAAAAACAATAACTTTCCGTAATTTTTCACGATGGAGTGGACATTGAAAGTAAACCGAATAGTTGTTATTGCGTTGCACCGCTGTGGACACTCGCCGAGTACCATTTTCAAGTTGCTCAAAAATTTGAATATAACGCTTAGGTTTGTGTACGGTACTATTGATAGGTACCTTGAAGTCTCCAGTGTTGAGGACAAGAAAAGAACTGGCTGGCCACGCTCCGCAAGAACACCAGCAGTAATCAAAGCTATCAAGGCGCGGATAGTAAGAAATCCTGTCCGAAAACAGAAGTTGATGGATTTGCAGATGGGTGTCAGTAGGAAAACAGTAAAAAGGTTTTAAATGAAGATCTTGGTCTACGAGCATACAAAAAAGAGTGGGCACTTACTTAATGCTCGTCTAAAAGCAATAAGGCTTAAGAGATCGCGGGTGTTGTTTAAGCGGTACGCGAAAAACCGACACCGTGATATCCTCTTTACGGACGAAAAATTTTTCGATATTGAAGAGAAGTACAATAAACAGAATTATACAGTGTACGCTAGGAGTTCTGAAGAAGCTGAAAATAAAGTTCCAAGGGTGCAACATGGACATCATCCATCATCAGTAATGGTTTGGTTGGGAGTGTCCTATTACGGGCTAACTGAGGTTAATTTTTTCGAAAAGGGGGTCAAAACCAGTGCTACAGTGTACCAAGAGACGGTTTTGTATCGCCTTGTCAAAGACATGTCCAACACCCTATTTGCGGGACATCACTTCGTGTTCCAGCAGGACTCTGCGTCTGCATACAAAGCCAAGACCACTAAAGCCTGGTTTGAGCGTCAGAACATCGTCTTAATTAGACATGAGGATTGGCCTTCCTCCAGTCCGGACCTTAATCCTTTGGACCAGAAATTATGACAGGGCTTAGAGAGGAAGGTCTGTGATAAACCTCATGAAAATTTGGAGAATCTGAAGTCATCTTTAAAAAAACCAGTGACTGAAATGGACACGAATATGGTGCGTGCTGCGATAGACGACTGGCCGCGACGCTTAAGGGCCTGTATTAAAAATGAGGGAGGTTATTTCGAATATTTTTATGTTTTTTTTATTCCTTAATTAATTTACTAAGAATTGATATATCACTCATTACAAACTGATCAGTACTTTTGTTTTTATCATTATTTCCATTTATGACAGAACTTTGGGACCGACTACGTAGTACTCGAATACATGCTATTTTTATTTTTATATTGGTATTGAACCTAGGCGTTGTCCTCGTATGCATACACGTAGAAGTCTATCGCACTTATTCATTCAATTGATGTAATAGCTAAATCTAATATATACAATTCTCGTCTCACAAGTGTTCATTTCCAATACTCCTTCGAAACGGCTCGACCGATTCTTATGAATTTTTTTATTCATATTTAATAAGTCTGAGAATCGGACAACATCTATTTTTGATCCCCCTAAATTTGTATTTTTACTTTTTAGACAACATTTTTTGTTTTTATTTTTTTATGATACAGCATACAAAAATACATACAAACCTTAATTTTCACCCCTCTACGATGAATCCCTATTTTTAATTTATTAATTAAAAACTTATGACTTGAACTCGGAGGTTTATATAGAGAAAAATACACAGAAAAACCTAAAAAGTTTTAATTCCGAAAAACTGAACTCTGTACAGTTTAGTTTAGTACATATCAAAATTTTCCACGTATGATATGTACTAAAAAGGTATGCTAAGTAAAATCACATTAAGGAGAAACGAAGTTCGCGGGGGCAGCTAGTAAATGATAAAAAATGATACACAGCAAAAACAGTGCATCAATTCGAAACAGTATTTCCTGTGATTAACAAGTAAGACTAGACAAATTCTCCATTTTTAAAGTAAATAATAAATAATTTATTAAGATCTTAAATCGCGAATGCCTGCGAAACACACCCTTACAGCTACTTAGAATGCAAGTTTCAAACATTATCAACGATGGGAGTCTTTAAGTAGTTGGAAACTTCCGCAAAATTATAAGAAATAGATAAAATGTAGTACAGTTATGTTAAACGCTATCGCGAAGATCAAAGCCTGGTGTAAGCGTTTACAGCATGGCAAACTTGTTATCTCGAAGTCATTAATCATGCCTCTGTTTTGGTACAAGTTACAAGCTAATAAAAGTATGCGATCGCGCCAGCGTATAATTAAAATTTGTAACTTTTAAAAAGAGAAAAAAGTTATTGCTTTATTTATCAAAGCTTGGATTATTAAAATCTCGGATTTCCTTTATATTAAAATGAATCGTGGTTTTTTTGCTTATAAACGATCTAAGCTTTTATTTAAATTATGTTAAAAAGGCAATTTGTAACAGTTTTAAAAGCTAGAAAATGCTTTGTTTAATTATCTTTGATTTCCCCTTAATATTAGAATCGTAGCTAATTTTTCGCTCACATAAGAAATGTTAGGTAAAAATTCGACACAAAACATACAATATTTAAATTACATTAAAAAAGCACTGCTAATACTGTTTACAATGAATTTTATGGGCAATTGAGAGCATAAAATACGGATAGAACAAAACAATTAGATGAGTTTGAGACCATTAATGAACTTTTACGACGCAATTGAAAATTAAAGATCGTATTGTGGAAACAATAACAAATTATAACTCTCGATTAACCGTAATAGCTATTTCAGTGATTAATTTAAGTATATCAATTTTATAAAGATTTATATTTGAAATGTTTAAAAAATAGAATACAAATTATTGCTTGAATTTATTTAAATCAGTTATTCGTTAACATAATAACAATATTTACTAACAATTTTCTGGCGAACTTAAAAAGATTCATTTCAGAGGAAGTAAATGTGTTAATGTATAAATAAATATCATATTATTATTTGTATATCACAGCGATTAAACAAACCACTAAATATTATATCGCTTAAGCTTCTAAACCACACCAACCCATTAAAGACGAACAAAAACGTATATTCAGATATGAATGAATAGACTTGGAAAACATTTGTAATGTAACACAACTTTTTGCCGTGGCATCTCGCGCAAAAACTTTTATGGTATTATAACAGTATTTGATAAATGCATCTTCTAGGGAAGCCACAACATTACGTTTAATAACAATAAGAATCCAGGGGTATTTCTTAATCCTAAAGGAATTCGATTTCTTGATCTGCTTCATTCATCACCTTTTTATTCTGACTTTTTTGCTGAGATGACATCTCTTTTTAAGGTCTACACGTTCGCTACATTATAAGAACATGTCTTAGTCTTTTTTTATAGAAAAGGATGCTACCCATGGACACTTCAATGCCAGAGAGCTCGCGAGTGCGTTGCCAGCCTTTTAAAAATTTGGCAATCTTTCCTTGAAGACCTTAAGTAGAATTAGTTCGGAAATACTTCAGCGGTTAGCTGGTTCCACATAGTGGAGGTGCGCGGCAAAAACTGCCTTAAATAACGCTCAGTTGTGGAACGACGGATGTCGAGGTGATACGGGTGGAATTTCGTATTCTGCCACGACTCCTAATGATGAAACTCATCTGGAGGTATTAATCCGACAAATGAAACACAAGTGCACAGCCAGGGTCCGAACCCTAGTGCAGATAATCCACCAAATACCACGAGATTATTTCCTATCTCAGGCTTTATCAAAAACTAATATAAAACCAATCCCGATATTAAATCCTAGATACGAACTTCAATTTAGTCTGAAAGTTAACCTGCGTGTTACGGGTGCCAATATCACAACTCCACGATTGACATAAATATAGGAAAACTTAAATCTTATAACTTTTCAGATTTTAAATTGAGTTACTTAAAATTGATTTTTAACAGGTTATTTTATTTTGTATTTAACAACATTATTTGCTTTTTTAAATAAAAGTCTACATATTCATAAAGACCTGTAAAGCCGTTTTGACACATTAGTTAAACGGAATAATTAAAAAGTTACAAACAATGTTCTAATTAAGAAAGAGTCGATTTAAATATGTACAAAAATAAATCAGTGGCACTACAAACTTCTTAGGTCTGGGCCTCAGAATTCTGTATCTGTTTCATGATCATTTGTCGATGTAATAGGCAAGTAGGTGATCAGCCTCCTGTGTCTGGCACACGCCGTGGAATTTTTGGCTCTAAGGCAAGCCGGTTTCCTCACGACGATTTCCTTCACCGTTCGAGCGAATGTTAAATGCGCACATAGAAAAAAATCCATAGGTGCCGGTGCTCAAACCTACGACTTTAGGGATGAGAGTCGCACTTAGAAGCCACGAAGCCAAGGCTCTTGATATAAATAAAATTATTTCTTTAACAATGTCGAATGTCCAATTCCTAGTCATGTAAGTTCTTTAAGATAGTACAACCTTTAAAAAGAATTCAAATCCACCAAAAAATGCTAAAGGCTTTCACGCAAAGTATATACCTCAATACGTTGTATTCAAGCGAGGGGCTGCATTTGAAAACTGAATTTTTTCGTGATTGAATGTTTTTTAGAGCAAAAAAGCTTTCAGGAAAAAGGCTTTGACGCTTGAATATGGGTGTAATGTGGAAAAATGATTTTCAAGAGTAATTGATTTATGTGAAGTTAGGTCATATTTCTGTTTGGTATGTGCTGGTACAGAGATATAGAAATCCATTCTCTTTTAAAATTAGTAATTCAAGAACTCTACTATTTGGCTTTGTATATATATATGTATTGTCTTGATAAAAGTCAGTATTAACCGTAGCTCATAGCAGTTCCAACTCACGTTTCAAATGCCGCTTCGTTCCGGTAAGTGAAGCCTTTCTTTAAATAAATATATTGAAAAGTCTTAACATTTAAATTAGATTCAGATAATTTCCTTGTTACTTACATTCTGCAGTATTAAAAAGTAAATTAAGAATCTACACTAATATAATAAAAATATAGTGTCTCAAACAATTGAGAAAAACTTATCAGTAGTTTAGTATAGTTACTATATTCCTGTATTATATAATAGTTAAATATATTGATATGTCAAACACTCACATAGCACGTTAATAGTGTGAGAAGCGACGGTAATTTCAGTTAACTGTGTATTGATGCCATGACACACCACTGTCACGGACCGTCGATTCGGTTCCACCACCGCTGTTATGTTTGATGTCGTTATCCAGCCTCCTGAAAAGAACATCGTATTACATTAATTAAACAGATTTGTAGAAAATAAAAGTTTCAGTTAAAGTTATTTTGTAGTTAAGTAACTTGTAGATCAAATAGAAAGCTTAAATATAAATTTCAATGTCTTATCTTTCGTTCGCTGTTCGAGATTATATTTCATAGCTGAGTTGAATCGTTCTATACAAAAATAAAGATGAATAAATAATGTACATACAGTAAACCCTCCTATAAAACGGTAGATTGGTGCCGCGTTTTAGGAGTATTCTCGCATAACGCGCTTGTATGACCCCATCTAACGCCTTATGTATAAATGATTCACGTTTCACTTTTCTCGTTAAAGGGAATCCCCCGAATATTAAGAAAAAATATGTGCGTAAAATAATTATTAGTGCCATAGAACAGAAATATAACGTGTGAAATCCCCGCGTTATTTGAGGGAATACCCATGTTATACGTGGAACTGAAATCGCGTAATATAAAAATGCGTTACAAGAGTACTGTGTTATGAGACGGTTTACTGTTACAAATGTTGCTGAAAATGTACAACCTATAAATAAGGTTTGGTTTTAGGGCTTTTTTTGTTTAGCCCCAAGTATTTTTGTATTTGTTACGTACCCTCAGGCGATATAACAGTCCGATTGCTGGCCTCTTTGTGGTTTTTCCCGAGCACAAGCCATTTAATCTCCGGAGCAGGGTTCGAAGGAGCCGTGGTACATGTGAGTGGTACTGGATCACCCACGCGTGCTTCCGTAGGTCCAGATATAGTCACATGAGCGGGAGCAACTGCAAAAACATACAAATTTTAATACATAATAGAGAATTTTGAACATTATTAAAATAAATAAATAATAATAAATTATTTGTTAATATAATTCTAATAATTATGAAATTTTAATGGTAATATATTTACGAAATTTTTAATTAAACACAGGTGTACTCGGGAAATAAATCTATAATCCCACGCACTCGCCTTTACCTTGCCGCCTCTAAGTGCGCATTGCAATTGGATTTTAGGAGCAAAAATCACGAACGAACTATTACATTTGATTATGTTCTCCCACAAATTATCTTTTCATATGTAAGCATGTCTTATAAATGTTTTTTCCTTAGGTAACTCCACTTCAATAGAATATAAAGTCTGATCCTAGAAGCTAGACTTGTAGCTACAAGGATGTGCCTATTTTTCAGACGCCCAACTTGGCAACTTAAACAATTTATCAAGCTTCAAGTTTCGAAATTTAAAACTAGTTTCACTATTAGTTAAGCGATTTTCGCTATAATTTATTCCGTACCACGTTTTATTTGTATCATGCACCAATTTTAAAGATACTCATCTGTTTTAGAAATGTAATTTTAAGAATAAACAACCCGGTTCTTCTACGCTATCAGTAACTGATACGAGTCGTATGTGTATCAATAGTAAATATCAGCTATAAACTGAGCTGTTATTAGTAAAGTTAACGACTTGTTGGAATTAAAACTGGGTTCCTTCCGGTCGTTTTTACTGGTTAATATTGATAAGAATGGACGCCTTTTTCCGGTCAATTACAGCAAAAAAAAACTATTTAAGAAACTCAAATGTGCCTGCATTTTCACCCTTCATGAGATTTTAATACAAAAACTTCATCACTTAGGGCAAAATATTTTCGTTATGATTCTGTCCACTTGACATATTAAGTAAGCGAATCCCCGGAGGGTAATTTCATAAATCGAATGTGCTAGCGATACCACCAAAGCAATAGAACAAAATTTAATTAAATATATTTGAGTCCTATCTAAGACTGGGATTTCTTTTCTCTATTTTGTAAGGCGAATTTAATACTAACACTATCTTGCATTAGGAAATACATTAAATATCAGACTTCACCTGACGCTACAAAATAAAAAACTTTTAAACATTTTTCTTTGCGAATCGCGAGCCGAGTTCGTCAAAGAGCAACACAAACAAAACGGGGAATAATTCCTAAGTTAAAAAGAAAAAGGACAAAGTGAAGATCCTAAAGGCCCTTTGACTAGTGAGCCGTAGTTGAAAGTATTTTTTAGGATTCAATGTTATTTACTGACGGAGTTGCGTTAATAAACGATAAGATGGCAGAGTGTGGTACAAGGGAAAGGAATATCACCTAACAATTAATTATACGGATAAAGTGGTGAAAGCCAAGAATAAATAATCTAGTTAATTAATTTTAACTTCAGACTATGCAGGATATAAAAATGAGTGTGAAACATACTTATGAGCGACTACCGTCTGACGAAGGAGGTCAACAAACTTTATTTTTTTAATTCAAATTCAAAATAATTTATTCATATAGGTAACATAAATGTACACATATAAACGCCGAATAAGAAATGCATATTAAATTTTTACAATTTTACATTTACTGCCAGTTCTTCAATGGCCAAAATTTTTGTTTTATAAAATGTTTTAAAGAAATTGCAACCATGCTCCACATTACACCTTAAGTAATTAATGGTTAATTAATAATAAAAAACAATGATTTTTATAGTAGATATTGATGTTTGCAGTAGTTAAAAACCCTATCAGCAGTAGGCATGGTGAAATAGGAGCAAGCTTACATTCTCGTGGAAACAACACGCAAATACATAGTCGAAAAACTAACATCACCGCATACACGATTTCAAGTCCGACCAGTCACCACAAGTAGCACCCGTTCACGAGTATGACGAGCCATCGTTCTTTTAATATTTTTTAAAATATGTAATTCTATGTATCGTTACGTCCCAGCACTAAACTCTAATTCATAGGTAAAGATGTATAACTTGTACCATAGCACATAGAAATCACTTCACATTTGACTACACTTGAGTCTGATAGGGTTATTTTGTCAAAGGATTACGAAATTCTGTAGATAACGCGATGTCGTCTACATATATCACTTTTATTTAAAATAAATATCATTAATAGCACTTAAACGTTATTTACTCCCACGTCTTGAAATAAACCTTTTAATGCTTCCACTCTACTTTTAGTTGACTAATAGTTCAGATCCCACCTAAAAATAATAATAGACAAGTTTGAAGATATAAATAATAAAGTTACTTCTTAACAAGTTTTCTAAATCTAACTTTAACAATCAATAGTTTGATCGAAAAATAATTTGATAGTTTTTAAAACGTACACGCAGTAAAATACTATCTTAGTTTTCCTTTATAAAATCCTGACTAATTTCGAAAAAAAACATACCAAACTTTATATTAGGACGTTGACTAGATTTACCAAAACATATTCATAATTTCATACATATACGCAACCCATTTTAAATATTACATCACATCACGTTTTTTAATAAGCAAGTAGGATTTCTACTTGTTCACGATGTTTACCTTTTCTTATAAAATAAATCCATTAATTATTTGAGAGACGAGTGTAAGTCTTGACTCAAGTGTTAATTGCGCACATAAAAGAGCCGGCCTATAACAACTGCCATTTTCTTTTAAATATTAGTGTCTATACTTACATAGTACAGTGAGATCGATTTCAGCCTTCAACGTGTTGCTGATCATAATGTTCTTAGCTTCACACGTATACCGAGCCTTATTGTCCGACGCGTCAGCCTTAAATGATAGGACGTTCTCCGACATACGACCGCTCGTTCTGAAAATGAAATCAATTCATTAATAATAAAAACTTTATTTATGACAGAAATAGGTTGCAACAAAAATCATCTATCGCTTGTCCCTACACTAGGGTCTCTGTGTTGTTTGTAACTAGATAATAATTATTCCGTGGTACATGGTACATGTTTTTTAGAAAGAAAAATTAGTTTTAGTGTTACAACTAATCAAACACAAGTCGAAGAAAACATTGAGTATGCATGAATGCGTAAGTATGTGAATCAGTGTGTGTGTGTATATGCATTAGAAAGTGTAGCTGAGAGTTGTTATAAGCGTGATGTGTAATAATAAAACAAAACTTAAAACAATCTTTGCAATAAGCATTTTTTGATTTCCCGTTAGTATATAAAAGACCTAAACTTAAATAAATATTTTAATTTCACTATTATAAACATTTCCACAGCTTGCAGAATCTCTACATCAAACTACAGCGCTACACGCGATATCGGTCGTCTCCCTCTAACTCAATTACATCCAGCTCAGGTGGGCCTCGGCCCATCTAAAGTTAACCAACTTAATAATTTCGAGTGAGCTCCCACAAATACTAACCTAACGATATCAAATATCAAACTATCTCGGATGGTGCGGTTTTGCGGTGTGTACCTTTGTCATAGTAAAAATTTATAGCATATCAGAATTGGGGTCAAATATGCGTTATTAATAGACTATTTGCGTTTATTTTTTAGCTACTATTATCTAACTTTAAATTTATTTCGCTAGTCGGAGATAGGTGATACTTTGACAAACTTTTGTTTTATGCTATTAAATTATCGGTTATATTCGCGAGAAATAAATAAAACGAAGAAAACCGTCTGAGAAAGCATTCTTATATTGTCTATTATTTAGAGAATGCACATTTTAAATACGAATTTCTATTAGAAAATCGCTAACTATCTATAAATCACTTAAATGTAGAAACAGTTTATTATACGCAGATAGAAAAAAATAATAATTTGTACACATGTTAATTTGGTAAAGTTTTCTTTAAAAACACGATTTTATAATTAAACTCTTTTACAAAAGTAGTCTTCAGGAATATCAGACAAGGTTACGTTTTACGTCATAATTTTAATCCGAGTTGCGTACTTAAACGCCGCGTTTAAGTGGACTTTAATAAAATATCCCGAGCTTAAGCTAGCTTTAATAGTTTAAAATTTTTCATCATTACAACCGACAAACAAAAACTATCGCAAAAAACTTGTAATCCAGGAAAAAGTTAGAACTTTTAAAGCGGTATGAATGTAAAATTGTTTTCAAGAATTTATACTGCAGTTATTCTCTTCAAAACTAACTTAGTCTGCGGTGTTGCTTGCAATTAATGCGAATACACTTACAAAGGGAGCTTTAATCCTCTATTTAATTTTTAATACTTACATTATGCGTTATTTTAAGGGTCTTTAGAGCTCTCTCTTTTTCACACAGCCTAAATATGATTTATTAAAAACAGACACATGTTTCGCAGACCTAGGTGCTAGCATTGTGCTGTGATTACAGTATACTGATGTAAGCCGGTCCAGACACCAAGGTTAAACCCCTCAAATAAACACATTTTATACACACTTTAGTATTTTTAGTAAGATCCTGCACATCACGGATTCTCATTCTTTCTGTGGTTGGCTACCGCGTAGACTACCTTACAGAAATTTCTCTTAAACCCTTAGTGAAGAAGCAGACCTATATTTCTACTTCCTTTAGTGGTTATGTTTTATGTAAAACATAAAGATCTCCAGACTAATTGGGTAAACAAATTATTGTGCATAAGTGTATGCGCAGAAATAGCAGCCCTTTCTGTTGTATTTTCACAAAGAAATATCGAAATAAGGCGAAAACCGAAAGCACATATCTTGGTTTTTGTAATACCGCCAAATTTCTAGTTTTTTTTTATCACAATATTTTTAATTTGGTATTTGAACCGCAGATTTTCGATTCAGAAATTCAAAATTCAAAAGCCTTTTATTGCCAACCTTAAATAACATTACTTTAGCTGTGTTAGTATTTAGTTTTCTTAATTTATTGTTAGTATTATATTTAATAGTATATTAAATAACTAATTGTTTATTTAGTTGGGTACCCGGTTATGGGTAAAGGCCTCCTCCATATTTTGCCATCTGTGTCGGTTCTGAGCGTCCCTTGTCCAGGTGTTGCCGGCCATGTCATGTATCTCATCTCTCCATCTCATAACGGGATGACCTTTGTTCCTTCGGCCGTCTCTGGGATACCAATGAAGTACGCGTTCACTCCATCTTCCGTCATTTACTCTTGTTATGTGTCCTGCCCATTTCCATTTGAGTTTGCAGTACATTTCGGCAGCATCTATTAAGTTGGTTTGTTTCCGGATCTCTATATTTTTTACTCTATCACTTAGTCTTACACCCAGCATCGATCTCTCTGTTGCTCTTTGGAATACTGACAGTATTTTTATTTGTTTTTTTGTTAGAGACCATGTCTGGCAGCCGTATAATAGGCATGGTAGAATCGTGCTGTCATACAGTTTTTTCTTTAAGTGAATTGGTATTTTTTTGTTTTTGAATATATCTTTGTTTGCCCAGAATTTTTTCCATGAGATGGCGATTCGTCGACTTAGCTCTTTTTCTGTGAGATCGTCCAGGGAAATGAGTTGGCCTAAATAAATGTATTCATTTACATACTCTATTACACATGACTCTATTGTTGTAATTATGCGGTCGTCATTGGTCATAATTTTGGTTTTTGTCATGTTCATTTGTAAGCCTATATTTTTACTTACAGTGTTTAGTGTTGAAAGCATGATTTGTAGGTTTTCATGAGTATTTGACAGTATTACTATGTCATCGGCAAAGCGTAGATGTGACAGGAATTCTCCATTTATGTTAAGTCCACAATTTGCCCAATGTAGTTTCCTGAACATTGATTCTAATAGAGCTGTAAAAAGTTTTGGTGAGATAGGGTCGCCTTGTTTGACTCCACGTTTAATTCGAAATAGTGGCCCATAACTCTCTAGTTTTATTTTGGCGTTATAGTCGTCATATATAAGTTTTAATATTCTAATAATTTTATTATTTATTCCTTGTTCTTTTAATGCTTTCCATAAATGTGTTTGTAAAATCGAATCAAACGCTTTAGTATAATCAACGAATGCCAAGTAGATAGGTTTGTTATATTCTCTGCACTTTTCAATGCACTGTGTCAATGTAAAGATATGGTCAACAGTTGAAAATCCTTTCCTAAATCCGGCTTGCTCTCGTGGTTGCTGTTCGTCTAAGCTTTTACTGATTCGGAAGAGTAAGAGTGATGAGAAAAGTTTGTATAAAGTTGGTAGTAAGCTGATTGGGCGGTAATTATCTATTAGTTTGGAGTCTCCTTTCTTGTATATGAGTGTTATTATTGAATGTGTCCAATGATCGGGTATTTTTTCTCTTTCAAGTATTTTATTAAAAATATTAGTCAGGTGTGGTGCCAATTGTTCTGCCGTTGCTATTAACATGTCTGTGGTGATGCCATCTTCGCCGGGTGATTTATTTTTCTTCATTCTTGAGATAGCGCTTTCGACTTCGTCTAGTAAAAAGCAAGGGACCTGTTCTTGATCGTGTATCTGGTTTATATTTAAGTCGACTGGGTTCGTTTGTTGGTTTTCCGAATATAATTTTTTATAAAAGTCAGTAGCTGAAAGAAGGATGCTTTGTCGATTTGTTATAGTTTCTCCTGATTTTGTTTTTATTGAGTGCATCCATTCTTTTTTGTGGCTTTTCTGGCTGTTTTTAGTAGAGCCTCTTGTTTCCAATTCACTTTCAATCAATTTCATTTTTATTTTATGTTTCCTTTCAATTATTTTTTTCTTTATTTTTCTATAAAGTTTCTTTAGCCTTTTTTTCTCTATGTCTGAGCGTGGCCATGTGTTCTTAAGTTTTTCTCTTTCATTTATTAATTTTAGGATATTATTGTTTATAGTGTTGCTTTCTTGGTCTTTTTTTATCGCATTTGTTGGTAAGTACGAAGTGCTTTTTTGTATTGCAGACACTATAGTTTTATAGTGGTTATTTATATTTTCAGTTGTAGGATTTCCAGCTAGTTCTCTTGTTACTATCATTCCCATCACATTTGATTCTATAGGTAGAAACGTTTTATTCTTAGTTCGAAGAAATTTACGTTTTTTCTTTGTTTGTTGTAATTTGTAGGATATTCTCAGCATTCTGTGATCAGACGGGAATTTTGGAGAGAGAATTTCAAAATTTGTTATGAATCTTTTATCTTTAATCAATATGAAATCTATCTCGTTTTTAGTTTTGCCATTGGGTGATAGCCATGTCCATTTCCGTTTTTGAGGTTTCTTAAATATGGTATTAGATATAACGAACTTGTTTGTATAACAGAATTGTAGTAGTCTTTCCCCTCTTTCATTTCTTTCTCCATATCCATATTGCCCACAGATCTTGTGTTCTTCAGGTAGAGGAAGCCCAATTTTTGAATTGAAGTCCCCTAGTATAATGACGTGTTTCCCAGTGTTTGAGAGAGCTTGAGTGACTTGGTTGTAAAATCGTTCCACCGCTTCTTCTTTAGCTCTTTCGATAGGTGCGTAAGCTTGTATTATGTTTAACACAGTTGTGTCACACTGAATGTCTAATCTTACGACTCTGTCTGAGTAAGTTGTGAAATCTATAATGTTCTTTTTTAAGTTACTATTGACGATAAATCCTACTCCATTTGACCCACTTTTGTCTCCTCTATACATTAAGATATAGTTTCTATATTGTTCTATTTTTATGCCTTCAATTTTTACTTCCGATAATCCAATAATATCATATTTTATTTTATCTAGCACTTGATCTAATTCTGGTAATCTATTTTCTGCGAGCAGCGATCTAACGTTGTACGTACAGATGTAAATAATATTGTTTTTTAATTGAGTTTTATCCTCATAGCCTTGTGGAGGGTTGTGGTCATACTCTTCCGCGGTGACCAACCGTCTTGGAAAGGTTTTTGTGTTAAGTGTTCCAATTTTGAATGTTTCACATCTTTTAGCTGGAGGGTTTTGGTCTAGTGCTCCCGCGGGGACCAGCCGTGTTGGGAGACGTGGAAATGAATTTTGTGGGAAGTTGGTTGTCTTTGATTGTTTGTTTTGGTTTTGGTTATGAGTATCAGCGCGGGTTGTTAGTTTTTTGAGGGTTCTGATATTGACGCTGATCGTCCGCGTTCAACATAGTTAAGTATGCCAGGTTTCCGGATTTTTTCTGTGTTGACGGGATTGGTGAATTAGACTCCTCTCTTTTTCTTTTATCACGGTTTTTGTCTTGTTGCGATGGTGCTTTAATTATTATTTTGTCGTATCTCAGGAATGCGATATTTCCTTTTTTCTTCTCTTCCTCGACCTGTGGCTGGAGCTGTTTGCGTATTTCCAATACTTTTTTGGGGAAATCTTCTTTGATGTAAATACCTGATGGAAGGTTTGATTTGCATTTCATTATTGTATGTTTTTTCCACAGTGTTGTGAAAGATACCACTACTGGTCGGTTTTTGTTACTAGTACGACGTCCAATCCTATATACATTACTGATTTCTTGACTTTCCATGTGGACACCTGTGTCTATTATTATCTCTTTTATGTAGTCTACGAGCTCACATTCTGTTTTTCCTAGCTCTTCGAGTCCAAAAAAGATTAGGTTGCATTTACGCTTTTCATTTACGGCATTATCAAGTTTTTGTTCCAGTTCGTTTACCTTTGATTTGAGCATAGTGTTTTCTTCCATCATAGTTTTTATTTTCTCATCCATTGCTTCCAAAACGTTCTTAGTGACTGATGTTGTTATGGTTAAAGTTTGTTGTTTTAATTTTTCGTCAAGCTTCGAAAATAGCAACTGCATCATCTCTAAATTGTCCATGTTGCGGTACTTTTTTGTTTTCGTGCACTGGCAACCCTCTGATCGTCAGTGTCTATGAAAGTTTGTTATTATGTTGGTAGGTCTTTCTGTTTTGTATGTTGGTACCGGGTTGTGACTTGTATTATGTTGGTACCAAGTCTATTTACATTGCATTGCACTTTTTAGGTTATAGTATTAGCAAGTATTGTTTTACACTTTTCTGGTTGAACTGCGTTATTCACACTATGTATTTAATCTTGTTATGATCCTTTTTAGTTGTTGGACTGTTTTTTGTTTTATAGTCACTTGGTAGATTCTTAATAGCACAAGAGAACAATTAATATAGCGGAGATCACTGACGTACGTGTTACTGTTGCGATACTCAAACCGGAAGTCCGATTTACGATCAGCAATTAAACATGGCAACTAGCAGATTAATGTTACAGGCATCAGGTTAAAATTCGAATGAGACGAGGTCTCACTAATAGGTAAACTAAGCCTAAGACGCTACCAATAATGATCAACCCAACGTATTGGCAGTTATTAGGTCAATTAATTGCAGTACATGTGTCAGTGCTTAGTGTTGCCAGCCGTAATAGAGTCCTACCGGACGTTGGCAACACTGGAACATGTGTTAATTGTGGTCACACTGTTAGTATATACTAGATATATGAGGGTGATCATTTTCGATTACATTTTGTGGTATATTTATTGGTTAATACTGGAACGTTTAGTACCCCATGTTGCATAGGCCTAGATTTTGGAGCATCGTAGAAAATTAGTTGATATATCGTTTGCGTTTAAGTTATTTATGAATCAGTTTGATTGCCCCAACCTATTAACTAATTTAAAATTCGTGTACCCTCTAGATACTCTAGACATCCCATCATCCCATTTGTCCCGCCTTTCAGAAGAGAGTGTTTGGCTAAAACTCACCGATATCCAAATTGAGCATTCTGATAAAAGAGCTAGGTCTGGATATCAATTGCTCCCCCCCCCCACACTTTGAAATCAATTTTCGTTTAGTTTTTATAATTTATGAAACGATGTATTTTTCTCTTCATGTTTGTTATGTTTGCCTATAAGTGCTTGTCAAATTTAATCTTTTTTTTCTCATGTACCAATGTATCAGTGTGCCGAGCGTTGCCAAGCTTTTGTAAATAAATAAATTTAGTATTTCCAGTAATAAAACCGACGCAAACAAAAAATCATCCATATATCGATAATTATTATTCGAAATAATATTAGCTTAATCATAGCTAAGACGAAATAGGGAAATGTGCAAATATTCTTCTATCTAGGTCAAAAACCCACCAATTTAAACCCGGGTTTTATTTTAACACACAAGGCATCGCTCGTACATTTTCTGTAGAGACGATGTCAAATGCACTTTGCATAGACGAGTCGTACAGATTCTCAATAGTAACGCATCGTTAAATTATAACCAGTAGTTATATTGGAATCAACAACGATGTGTGCCAATATAAAACGTGTGGTTAAATAATAATTGACCTTTTACGGATATCCAAGAAAAAGTTACAGTATGTCATTAGTCATACAATTGCACTACACTTATAAGCTTAGGTCATGCGAAGTTAACAATGCAGAAAAATAGTGCTTTCAACGATACTAAGTGACCATTATTCTAAATTTCCCAGGTTAGTTTTTAAAGTGGCATTTAATGCAATGTTTGTTTATATACCTTTGGTTGTATCTAACTATCAACTAACTTTATTAACATATGATTAATTTGATAATTACATTTTCTTTGCTTTGAATACGAATTCGTCTCAGGTGCGTCGTTTACGCAGACATAGCCGTAGGCACAAGCTTGTTTTATTCATTATTTGCACACTATAAATGTGAATTTATAAAACCTAACCTATAATTTAATAAAACATTTAATTCGCGATCACCACATAGATAAACACGGATTGCGTCACAGAGTCACGTGATTAGACAATTATACTACATATTTTACCTATCAAATGAGAGATGACTGGTCCAAGTATAAAATGGTTGTTTGACTAAATTCATACTTGCACGATCACTTTGCTTAAATCTAAGCATAAATGCCTCGTTACATAAGAAAATTTAAGAATATAATACACTATGCCATAGTTAAAAGCGGGCAAAAATAATAGAACATACATTAATGTCCAGCACACTGTAAACATCTTAGTACGGAGAGTTATCACATTTTTAAATAAAAGATGTTTTAAAAGTGTCTTTTTATTTTGCCACTATAAGTCGTAGAGGGTTATAAATATGTACGATGACCATGTTTCTTTCGAGATGAGGATATTATTAATAATATTAAACAAGGATATTGCCTTAAACCTATTTTAATATTGTTACCTACCTCCTTAATATTGTTAGCACAAGTACTTTTTAAATGCAATATATTATTTAGATGAGGAGTTTTTGCATTATTAATTACAGCTCAAGACTCTTGCTGTAAACTAAGCAATAATTTCGCGGTTAGATCGATTAATAGTATTTTTTAAAACAAATATAAGTAATAGTATATATATATATACTATTACTATATATATATAAGGTAAGTATTAAGGTTTATTTAAATAAAGTCCCACATTTTCCCAAGCAAAAGCCACCCTACCGAGTGGACGGTTGCAAGAGCTACACGATAGAAGCATTACTGCAAGACTAGAGAATTCATTTAAAAATGTCTCATATAAGACCAAATTGTTTGAACTATTTCTCTTTATTCGAGCTGTCTCCGTCCAGTTTAATCATTTGAATGGCTATTGTTTTCTACATCGCAAATATCGTCAAACATTCTGTCCTAGACAGTGTGAATGTGTGAATAAAAATGTGGCGATGATGTTTGCTATAAACAAACGCAAATTTGCTTAAAGCAAACAAATCTCGCAAACCTTGCCATTGCCCGTGACCTTACTCGAATGCGTATAAATATGTATATATTACTGTTATGCAGCAATTATTATTTCTTAGAATTATAAACTTTCTTATATTGTGAAGGCTAATCGCGAGAAACCCGGTATGTCTTAGACTAAAATCTACGTGTGTAGGTTACTAAAGAAAGTAAAGAGAAATGTCCAAACAACTGATGAGATATAAGCCAAGCCCCATAAAGAGTCACATAGTTCTAGGTTATGAATAAGGTTCTACATTTTGTATAGTATATATACAAAAAAATATCCTCTACAGAGATACCATACGACACCCGCTTCCGCTCGTTTCTCGGTCCTCATCATTATAAATTTCCTCTTAAATTTTCCGGCGCGTTATTTATTACTTAATCTCGACGCCTCGCGAATGTTTTTAAGAGTTAACCGGCGAGATATAATTCCGTGAAGAATTGCCACGTCCTCCCGTTTCATATTAACTTGCTATTGTCTCTTCAATTTCGGGAACATCTGTTCGAATGACTACTACGCTAGGTAATAATTTTAACAGTATAGCGATGAGATAAATAAAAAAGTATAATAATATTAGCAAAGGTTGTACTATTAAAAAATCTCAACAAAACCGTGTGTATCAAACCACTATTCCACTATTTATACGTATATAGGTATATGTATAAACTACAGTCTGTTATATGTATAAGGAAACTAGCAAACGTTGTTTTGCCATGTATATTATTTCTAGGAAACATTTTTTTTAGTTCCATAAAAATAACTATCTACTATAATAAAAAATAGGGGTTGATCGTAGAGGGGTGAAAAAAAACACCCTTAATATTAAGGTGGATCAAAAATAGACGTTGTCCAATTCGCAGATCTAACCCATATGCACACAAAATTTCACGAAAATCGGTCGAGCCATTTCGGAGGAGTTTAATTACAATCACCGTGACACGAGAATTTTATGTATTTGATTAAAGCACGCTATTTTTACAATTCAAAAGAAAAAACATTGTAATAGCTCCATAGGATATATTGACTAAATGATAGTACCAATGTTTTCAACTTAAGCACGTTTCTTTTCGGAAAGGTTATTTTCACGTGATACTCAGGTGACTTAAAAGACAATAAAGAAAAATATAAATATAGAAACATAAGTATAAAGTAGAAAATCTTTTGTTAGCAGCAATTTCTAACACAACAGTTTCTACTCCACTCTTGTTTATCCACATCTAACAATACATAAATCAAACAAATCGTAAAGTAATCTTAGCCGTGAAATCTATAGGAATACGAAGCGGAAATTAATTGAATGAAATAAAAAGAAGCCATTCAACTAATTGGAGTGAACTTTGAAAAGTTCAAAGCCCGGTCTCAAACCGACTCTTTCGTTCGTTTGACGATTCGCTCAATTTCGTTCGCGTGTAGATTTACAAGGAAAATATTTCTCCCTTTTACTTTATATTGCGTTAAGCCGGTCTAAGGTATAATAGGCGATCCGAGCGACTTTATGTCATAAATAACACTGCAAAAGGCACAGAATTGATTTTGTTAAATTTATATAATTATCTAATTGCTCCTATGTACGTTTGTACGTTCAGGATATTATGTTGTAAGTCTCATAGTCCTATTATGCACGGGAAATCATTTGATCATACCAATTTGAAACGATTATTATTTCGCCTGAAAGCAAACACGGATCATGCCGCAGCAGTAAACAAGTATTGTGTAAAAAAATACTTAATTAGGATATAATTATTCATATTTTTTTCGAAATATTTGTATCGTGCATATTAATAAAGCAAAGAAAGATAAAAGGGAAAGCCAATTAGGTATATATTAATAAAATTAAATTGTTTGGGCCGTCGGATCTCTTTGACAAGTCAATCGAAGTGTGTAAATCCGATATCGAAGTTGTTCCGCATAATTACAAATTTGTATATATTTATTTAATTTTAAAGTTACATTTTGAGCTTTAAAAAATATAAGATGTCTGTCAAATCGTCTCTCCCATAACTTGGGCTACATATAATCCCAGCGCTTGTGTCTGAAAGTGGATCGTCGCGTATCCTATATCGTTTTGATATGAATTAAAGATATAGTAACGCAATCTGGCTTACGAAAAGCTTTAGATTATCCAAATAACAAAAATACGTCAAACATAAAAACCGTAGTGTTTTCTTTTTTTTACGGGTCTTCAAGCAGTTTTCATCAACATATAAAAAAGCTTATAATGTTGATGTAAATATATAGCATATATCTTAAAATGGTTTAAGAATAATAACGAACATATGCGATTTGGCCTCTATTTCAATGTGTTATATTGATTTTGTTTAAAGATAATGCAGTTTTTGTAATCAGCCTTCTTTGCCTGACACATATCGTCGCTTTTTCGATACGTGTCAGTCACCTGGCGATGTTTATCTTTACTGTACCTGCAAGTATTATTTGCGCACATAGATATAAAAGTTAAAAAGTCCATTGATCCACACACCATTGGACTATATATAAACTACTGTCTGATATATATATTGGATGTTAGTCAAAGCTGTTAAGTTAGTGCAATAAAGACATAACTTTTTGAATCCATCAAAAACCATCTTTAAAATTCAAAATCGTAATATAAAATACGTCAAAAGCAAAATCCACCTCGCCACTTTTTACATCGTAAATCGTCGCATAAAAAGCCGTGACATAGTGATTAATGATGTTAGGATTAGGGGGCGCGAGGGTCGTCGGTTCGATTCCGGGGTTAAGCTGACTGAGACCGTAAACGTCTTATACGTGATAAGACGTGTGAACTATTTTCCCTTTTTACGTTTAAATATAGTGTGAGAGTTTTTATATTGTATCGTTGAAATTAGTTGAAGGCTTTGAAGGAGTTATAATGCCGTCTACCTGGCATGATGAGGGCAATCATGTGCGGGTATACCAACGAATTTTGACTTTTTTGATACACTTTCCCACTTAAGACACGTATTTTCATTCGTATACAAATTTTACAGTATTCTCTCGGAAATCAACACGATGTAGATGAACTGGCATTAGATTAGAACTCTTTTATTCCCAGTTCTTTTTCATTAACTACGGTTCGCGATGGCATTCACTGAGGGACAGCCTGTATAAAGTCCTTAAGGGTTAAGTAATTAAGATTTAATCGTCATACCCTCAAACAAAGTCGGAAACGCTTTGAATAAAACTTGTTCAAACGTTGAATGCCTTATGAGCGTGTGTGCTTGTAAACTACGCCGTGGAAATTCTAATAGCGATTATATTTACTATTAAAAAAGCTAAAACTAGGTGATGAATATAACCTGCAACGTTGGAAGGGATTCAGGTGTGTTGCCAGCCTTTAAGGGTGGTACGATCTTTTCTTGTAGGGGCTCTAAGTCGTATCTGAATATAAAGAACTGCGATAAAAATGTGCCTTAAGAAATTTTCCGAGTAAATACGAAACAATAGCAAATAAATAGACAAAAATGTGTTCATTATAATGTGTGAGATTTGGAAACCCTTTTAAGTAAAAAATACCAGTGTCATGTCAGGATTCCTAGCTCTTCCAGAACAAACTTAATAATTATTTATTTTAAATTAATTACAAAATCTTCTCCCTTCAACAAAATGCATACGCGTAAAAAGACCATGAAAAGTGTTGCTTTGTTATCCACTATTTCATTTAGCAAAGGAAAAGGAATTATTGAAAATAATGAAAAAAAAAAGATCATTATTGTGACAAATAAATAGATATATTTTTGTGGTTTTATATGAAGACATACAATGCAATCACCAAATTGCAATACACTACAGAAATTGAAAATTCGTTTTGCCGGTAGTTAAAACTATCCCAAATAAACGTTGCATTGGCTTTGATAAAATTGTCCGCCAGAATACATCACTAGTGCCATATCGATTATCGATATCGACAATGGACCGACGACATTTTTACGAGCTTCCTGTCGAACGTTTAACACTATATTTGAATTTTCTTTTAAGGATATGAATTTTAAGATGAAAAGATATCCTTAACTTGGTCTCACACTTAGACATTGACTTACTAAAATCTACAAACTTTCTATATTAATATATAAGTTGAGACTGGGTAGTGACCGTAAAATTAATATTGCTACTAGGTCCTTCAATTTCTTAATAACAAAAAATATAATGAACAGTGAAAATATGTTTAAAAAATGGCAAATGCCCAGTAAGGTGTTTAGGTTATGGAGATATAAGCTACATAAGACCCTAACTATCTACTATACTAGACTACTACGCCCTTATCTAAGGCGTGAATTAAACTTAGTACCTTTACCATGGTTACGATCTTATAACCATACTAGCGGATCCGACAGACATTATCCTGTACACACGTCTTAAATACAAAAAAAAATATATCTCATATATCTCATAAAATGTACATCATTCTCGACTCCACTTAAACACAAAAAATTTCTTCAAAATCTGTCCAGCCGTGTTGGAGTTTACTTACGAATACATGCACAGAGGATTTATATATATACCAGCTGTTTATTTGCTGTATAGATAAATAACCTTGATACCGACTGCAGCGCCATCTGCCGGGTTTATTTGTGAATAAACATCTAGGGCGACATCTAAACGCATACAAAAAATTTCATTGAAATCGGTCCTGCCGTTTAAGAGGAGTTCAGTGATATACACACGTACAGTAGAATTATATATATGAAAAGAAAGCAATCAATAAATCAAGTATCTCGAATCCGCTATAATCTATAATAAGGCCGCTCATCTTTACAGTGAATTTCCCAAGTTTAGAGAGACACAAAAGTTTCCGTTAGTATCTTATATCACATTTAATAGGGTTGACCCGTGGAAATCGACAACCATAAACATCTTGTTAAAAGGAAAAATCACGAAAACACCATCAATATCCGCGCGAACGAGAAATTTATTATGCAATAAAAGTAATTTATAAAAAACGTAATAAAACCGAGTTATATAGTACGAGATCAGACATCGTTGATTTTAATCAAAATGCAATTTATCAATATTTTTATAGAGTCATGAGAGTAAATATACGTAGGTACGTATAGAGAACGAGTGAAGTTTTAATAAGCTCACCAAAGTCCAATGCTTCTTTAAAACAGTCATTATTTTCTTTATACATGTTTAATTAGTCTACCAGGCTTTTTACTCCTTGCATAAGTTAGTTTGTAGGCTCTATGTATATTATAAAAATTTAACTAACTTTCTCCATAGTATCATATCATTTAAGCAAATAATAAAAATATAGCTATAGAAAAAAAAAAGAACGGTCCGATGTCGACGTGCAATTTAATTGCGTGTTGTTCCTACGAGAATGTAAGTGCGTGCTCTTATTTCACCATGCATCCTACTGATTGATGGCAAATCTTTGTAATTATTAATTACTTAAGATGTCATGTGGAACATGGTGTAATGGTTGCAGCTCCTTACAAACGTTGTGTAAACAATAAACTTGGCTATTAAAAAGAGTGGCGGAGAGTTTATTGCCAGTTCTTCTCTTCCGTTCTACGCCCTTGATTTGAGAACTGGCAGTAAATGTAAAATTAGAAGCATTTTATATGTATTTCTTTTTTTGACGTTCATTAGTGTACATTGTGTTACCAATATGAATAAATGATTTGATTGAATTCTTAACTAAATTTAGTTCTCTTTTAAAAAAAATATTTTTGCTCTTTAAACATTACGTTAACAAATTAATTTGAATTTTCATGCAAATGACTCTCGATGTAAAATATTTTAGAGCTATTAGAGTTTACATTTTTAATTAATTTCATTTGTTTAAAAAGTGCTTTCTTCTGAATACAATTAAAACAAATCGTAAAAATATAAACGTATATTGAAATATTGGAAGTCAGACTGTGGGATCTTAGACTAATACGAAAAGTAATAAAAGTCGCTCTCCGCCGAATAAATTTTCCTACGGGTCATTCTAATTTCCTCGGTTCGATATCTTTATAATATTCTTTCGTTTTTCACCGACTGACAGATAATGGGAATTATGGATGATCCTTTTCTTACAGAACCAAAAACAGTCCATTCATTAAATACGTTCATAAAAAAAGTAATTAACGTAATATTGGTGTCTCTAAATATTAGTGGTTACCTAACGTACTTTCCAACTGCAAAGTTCTGTGTTGGATTTACGTCAACAAAATTAAGGAAATTAAAATTCAAAATGTACAATTTTGAGTAACGCATCTTCGCGCTTATAATCTTCAATAACCCGGATATAAGTAGATACATTTAATTCAATTAATTTAAAATTAGTAAAGTATATTAATGATCGGTCATATAGGGTCACTTAAATTAGGAAATTCGAAACATATTAATTCGCATAGTTAATAATTGGGGTCGGTAATGAACGGTTGCCGGGGTATCGAGACTCCAAAACTTTGGCTAAGTAACCTAAAATACGAAATGATGAAGTAATAATGTACTAATTTATAATCAGTCCTTGTTTAATAAATTTAGATATAATACAAAGTACAGTATCTCTCAGAAGGTCTCTTAAAGCTGGGACACGCGTTGCGCCATGACCGCTACCACCTCCTTCAATTAATTATAATAAATTCAGGGAAACACACAGCACAGAAGACACGCTTCACGAGACTAAAGGCCCATCCTCCAGTAATGGAGAGGCACAAAAAAAACACATGGTACAGGTCGTAGTTTTAAGGATATTTATATGACATGATATAAAAATATGATGAGCGGAATAAGAAAACAATAACGTAACATAACATAATAACGTATGTAGTTCGTAAAATAACACCTTTAAATAACGTCCAGTATATTACTATAATTATTACGAGTCGTAGCAAGTATTGTAACGACTCGTAATAATTACGAATGGTAAAAGAGAAAAAACGCCACGTCCCACCCGTTTACAGCGCACATGACGGCTGTCATTCAGTGTCACGGTCCCGAATAACGTTATTATTGGCTCGGATTTGCGAAAGTTTTCCCTTTGCGTCGGAGAGCATTATTTATCCCTTTAACCCAATATTGGGATCGGCAATCCCTCTGTCTAGATTTATGCCGAAATCTATTTTCTCTATGATGACATTTATTTGAGCCTTTATCAGCTGACAATACAAACGAGCTGTTTTTCTGCGAAACAGGCAAAGCTCCACCCATTCACACATATTCACGACATGGCAACTATTTCTGGAAATTTAGTTTTTGTTAAGTTAAAAAACTTTATAGATTATTATGTTACTAGTTTTTGTCCTCTTTTTCGTCCAAGTGGATATCGAACTATGGCAAGTTTTTTTCGATATAAATAAATAAAAAAAATAAAAAAGCCTTTTTATTTCTTGCAAAACAACAGAGTAAACTTAATACTATTTTTACAAATTATTTTTAAGAAAGTAAATTAAACAATTATTATTATTTTTTTTTTTTTTCCTAATTTTTGTATCTATTTCCCAAATTATTATTTTGCAAGAACCCTTCCGCAGGTGTAGGCCTCCTCCAGGGATCTCCATGTATCTCGATTCTGGGTGAGCTGCATCCAGCTCGAGCCACCCGTTTGAGTAATGTCGTCCGCCCATCTCGTGAGCGGCCTTCCTCTGTTTCGTTTCCCATTAGGGCCACCCCACCTGGTCACCCTTATGGTCCATCGATCGTCAGAGAGTCTTACTACATGACCTGCCCATCTCCATTTAAGCTTTAGAGCATAGTTTAGGGCATCAGTAGCTTTAGTAACGCTTCTTATTTTTGAGTGTTTTATTTTATTAATTTTTCTAATGTTAAGCATGCTCCGTTCTAGGCCCCTTTGACAAGTTCTGATTTTTCTTTTTATCTTCTCTGTATATTTCGAAGTCTGGCAAGGATATGTTAGACATGGCAAGACACAGCTTGACATGGCTTTGGTTTTAAGTGTTACTGGCATATTGCTTTTAAAAATTTCCTTTAGACTCCAGACCTTGTTCCAAGTATGTTGAATTCGCCTTTCAATTTCTAAATAGTTGTTGTCCTTTTCAAAGCTGATTTGTTTTCCTAGGTAAACATACTTGTTTGTATATTTCAAAATTTCTCTATCGACCGATACTGTCTTTTCTATACTGTTTGTCATTAACATTGTCTTTGTGAGGTTCATCTCTAGACCTATTTTCTTCTTTTTTTTCGATATAACTAAATATAATAGTGCACCCACTCTCTCCCTTAGGAACACACTTGGCGTTCATACGGATGGACGCGACCGGGAACTAATTGTATTATATTATGTAACCAGAATCACTATACTTATAAATTATTATATTTTTTTTATAGAATAGGGGGTCAAACAAGCCGGACGCCCAAAAAGGTCATCGCAGCCCATGACACCCATTTTTAGTGTAGTGGGTGCGTTGCCGGTCATTGAGCGAGGAGTATACCCCCACCGGGAGTCGAATCCCCAACTCGCTAATTAGCAAAAGAAATTGTGGACTGTGGAAGACTTCCAGCCATCAAGGTGATGCTGAAGAAATTTTGAATTGATATGCTCGTACGGTGTTGAAACGAGGCAGGCGGGATCAACCCATACTTTTCAGAACACTCTCCATAGTACACTTTGTAGAATACGCATGGAGATGCAATGTCTATCTGTAGAGAGAGAGAAGAAGCTGGTTTTTGGGAGCACCGGCCCAGAGATGTGAGCAGTATAGTAGTACTTGAGCCTTCATTCAAAAGAATTCCTCGTCCGTTTAAAACCAACAGAGAAGAAAAGAAAAATAGAGAAATGCCATTTACGAATTTGTTCGAATAAATCAACTAGTTACAATGAAAAGTTCAACAACCTGCAATATATCTCCGTAAATCAAATTCTTCCTCCGAATACCAATTCTATCCTTTGTTTTTTATCATAACTTATAACGAAAGCAGGTGAACAATATAATATTATTGTTACTATTCCCCGTCTAGTGTTGTACTATCGCTTATCGATTATCGATTAAACTATTCCGGACGCAATCGACTCGTTATTGTACGCTCGATTTGTTTGAAATTCGACTTGAAAGGGGTTGAAGAAATTGTTTGAGTTCGCTATTTGAATTGCGATCGCTGGTAATGATATGATTTAAGATGGAGGGGTGAATGGGTTGCTTTATTTTTAATTAGGGTCCAGCTTTTCGTATAATGATCGCGTTAATTAGCTTAATGCAAAGTTTTAATACACTCCTAGGTTTTTTAAGTGCCTCGTATTGTAAATTGGCTCTATTAATCATTTATTTTAAATCGTTATATTTGTGTACTAACTATGACATCTATAATGATTTGTACGAACATATTTATTTTGTATCATTGTTTTTTCTAATAATTTTAATCCCGTTTAACTAAGGAAGTTAAACGTGAATCATTTGAACATAACGCGTTGTATAATCAATATTAGCGGGTATTTATAACAAATAGTTTATATAAAACCAAAACTATGATATTAATGAATTCAAATTTAATATTTAAATAAAACATAACATGTCATAGTACATCACTATCCGATATGCATTTATCGCATAAATCAGCTTCCGGTGCCGTTATGCAGATCTTAATACAATTTCATAAGTGATGTCCATAAACAATTTTTTTATCGATAGTCATGTCACCCTTATCGATAAACATTGCCTTTTGTCAAAATCCGAAAACAAAATCTTAATAATTAAAGATATGGATGATAAAAATATATTTAATTATTGAATGAATCTTCATAACCTATAATTTTATAATAAGGTGTTCCTGCGTAATAGTGTAAATAGATTAAAATATTACAATTATTGCTGAAGTGGTCGAAAATAATCTCGCCAAATACACGAAATACTCGCGCAAAAAGAAATTCTGCTCGCAGCTTCTATATGGTTTGTTCGTTATCACCAACACGTTATTTTTAAACTTGGAACTTTGTTCCACGAGACAATTTCATCCCAGAGAATCTGGTTCTTGTCGCTAGATTTAATAATCATGGGTTTTTTGTATGGTGAACCAATTGTGAATCTTTGTAATCACTATTAAAGTAACGCTACTGATTAACAAACCTTTTAAGCAATAACATAATAATAAAACAATTAAATAGATTAATCTAAAGACAGTTTAGTCCTTAATAATTATTCTCATTTCATTTGCCAAAACGAAATTGAAATAAGCAAAATTTTTCAATTAAGCAAACGTCAAGAAAATATAAACATAATTGTGCCCAATTATCAAAGCCTAGCGTTGATTTAGAAATTTAATATAAAATACTGCTTCTAGTGATATTTTATTAAAATATATTATTAATATTAATTAATAGACGGTTAATGACCGGTGTAACTTTCATTAATTAAGGTCGTTAGAGACTAATAATAGTTAATTAAACTATATTAGTTTTAATATGTGATACCTTTCTCACTCCAAATTAAATTTTGCTGAATTTTCATGATAATTTAAACTGGTATTCAGAGATATCGAGTAAGATGCATGTTCCGATAAATAAGTCTGTTATCGGAAACTTAAGAAACATATTAGCCTTAACAAAACAAAACAATTATTGACAGCCACTGAAGTAGGATAAGTTAAACTAAAAGTGTATAAAGTTAAGTTTTAGTTTAGGTATAGTTCAACTTTTTAAATCAGTCGTTAACTAATGAAGCGTTATATTCCGTAACTTAATTATACTGTTCCTAAGTATTTTTATATTTTGATGGTTAGTTTCAATTCAAATAAAATAGACCAGATTTTAATATAGCGTCCCATAGTTTAAGTCTTTATCTTTCAGCTCTTAACAAACCAGCAATGAAAATAATATTTTGCTTGAAAGCTACAGACAGAAATGTGTGAATTTGGGAGAATTAAATTTCTTCAATATCTTCAGAATTCAACAAGGACATCGACAACCACAGCACATCATTATTCCTACTACATAAATCATGGAGACATACGCCCTATCTGTTCTCAGCTTAATACGATCCCCGAAACGTCTGGGAGGGGTTAGGGGGTTAAGAGGGGTACAACGGGGGTTTTTATTCGTTATAAGCAAAAACGGAGAAGTTTTGATAGGGTATTCCGCCGCGATAGATCTGTTTTTGACTTTTAATTTGAGTTTTTGTAATTGCGGTTCGATTCGTATTTTAATTGACGCTGCAATCGGTTTATCTCTTTACGTTAGTTTTGCTGATGATATTCCAATATGAAAATATATATATGTCAACGTAAAATTGTAAAAACCGTTAGATTGTAATCTGTCTCGCGAGATTGTAAACTGTCGAAAGATTGTGAACTCAACGTATTGCTTACAATTTAACGTATTATTATTCGGTAGATTATAATCTATCGAAGTGAAATCGTCAAATTGTGAAAATCGCTAAATTACATACATTTTCCGTGTTTTAATATTTTTTATTCGCGTGAACCTTTGTGATCTCGTATTTACAATGTCGGATATTGAGCCTGTCGATTAACAAAACTCAGAAATATTAGGTATTGTTAATAAGGAAGAATTTACCATAGAGTTACAAAACTATTACAGCGGGCATAATGAAAGTAGAAAAAAATTTAATTGCAAAAAGAAAGCTAATGTTCTTTGTAACTCCAGGTGCCACAACTCGTTGACGTGCAACAATAATTGAACATTTTTATTGATGCAATTTACTTTCTTATTTTTTATATAATAGACAATTTTGTTATGTTTTCAAAAACGTTCATATGTTATCGATTTGTTTTTTTTTAAATTTTGATTTTATTTTGTGATCGTTTTTTTCTAAAAAAAAATTTCATTAATTTTTCAATTTTAATTTGTGTTTGAAGAGAAAATATTGTTACGTTTCTGATTTTTTTATTTTGATATATTTTTTTTTTCATCATGTGATGTCAGAATTATTGATATAATGAATACTAATTTTTGAAGTGCATTCATTTTATTTGACCGATACCCTTGTTTCATCTATGGACATAATATAACAGTCTACTATAAAGCCGACCAATCAGCGCGCGAGGTGCTTACCGTTTCACAATTTGACGATTTCACTTCGATAGATTATAATCTACCGAATAATAATGCGTTAAATTGTAAGCAGTACGTTGAGATCACAATCTTTCGACAGTTTATAATCTCGCGAGATAGATTACAATGTAACGGTATTTACAATTTTACGTTAACATATATAACATTTATTTAAATGGGTGTAATTGGTAAACTAAGATAGCACTGAGAAGCTTGCTCGGGCCAAGAAGGTAGGCTGAAGACTTGATATACATAGCAGGAAAAGACTGGCAGACTATTGGCTGATGACAGGAGACATGTGGAAAGTTTTGGAGGATCCCTCCTCTTTAACTTTCTCCTCCTTTACTTTAAGAGGGGCCCATATCCACAGGTGACTTACCTACTACTACTACTAAGATTTACCTAAAAGTAAATACTAACAACATTTGAAATGGAATAAAAAAGCCTTTTTATTACGAGTATATAATTCACCTAAGCCAAATTATGTATTACTTAGTTAAATGTATTGAATAATTTCATTGTTTTTTCCCTTTGAAATGTTTGAACCTTTTTGTAAGAATTTTTATTCCATCTTTGTGTATATTTTCTGTGTAATTGATTGTTATTATACATAATTTTTGTTAGCTGTAGGATTACGAAATAAATAATTGGTAAATACCAATAAACGTATGCCTAATTAAAAGTAATATTATAACAATTTTTTTTTGTATATTTCTATCTAGTTCTAGATCTGAGTTTTTTTTTTAAATTTCAGTATTAACAGTTGCGTCAAATGCTTAAATGCAAAAATATCCTAGAACTATAGGGTTTTCCTCTCCTTTCCTATATAAAGTAACTATACATATCATTACCAGTTATTAATTAAACCTACCTGTAAGCCATTCTGATTTGTTCGCCATTTTTATACCAGATTAGCTGAGCTGGTGGGTTACCGCCTCGACTTCTGCAGACCAGCTCAAGGCTTTGTCCACGTCTCACGGTCTCGCCTTCCGCGTAGCCTTCTATATAGGGGGCGCCAGGAGGATCTGGAAAAATCAAAGATTTATTTATTTAATCATACTTATTTACAGATAATTTACATTTACATACTATACAAAATATATAGTGTAACGGACGGCCTTATCGCTATTCAGCAAGCTCTTATAAGCAACACTGAGTTTTCAGTTAAGTTCTTATTTATTACTATCATCATGAAGTTTATTGTCGACTTTGCTTTAATGAGTTAGTAAAAATCTCCAATGATTAATTTTAGAGTTTATGACAAACACCCGTCTTTGATGGAACGCTGAACACTTACTTTTAGGGCAGGAAGGATAAGTTTGAATTCCAAACAATTAAACATAAACAAGAAAAGCCTCCGAAGAGCCCGAGGGCTTGTAAATAATTTTGTAATTAAATAAAGTGTATAGGTTAGCTTTAGTCAATGTTATCTTTAAATATATAAAATTCTCGTGTCACTATGTTAGTTACCATACTCCTCCGAAACGGCTTGACCGATTTTTATCAAATTTTATATGCATATTCAGTGGGTCTGGGATCGGCTACTACCTATTTTTCATACCCCTAAGTGATAAGGGGTGTCCACCCCAAAATATATTTTTTTATTTTTGGAAAAAAAAATTAAAACCCCTATTTTCTATTATAGTAGATAGTTATTTTTATTGAACTAAAAAAATGTTTCCTAGAATTAATATACATTGCAAAACGACGTTTACCGGGACAGCTAGTAGTTATATAAAAGTTGACTATTACAAGTCTGTGTTCACATCAATTCTATGTGTTTACTATTTTGGCATTGGGTAGTTTAAACGCTCAAAGTAAAAGAATCCAAAAATCCCTTAAGATATAACATATTATCTCTAAATACAATTCGAAGGGAAAGAATGGAAAAATATCAAAAACTCATTAGAATGAAGACTCAGAGGTTAAACAAATCTTTCCTTTGAGCATCAAAGGGACATTGTAAATACTGGAAACGGCTAAGCGTGAACTGAAAAAACGAAAGAATTTTTGTCGGTTTTGTGGAGGACAACTTGCAATTTGGAAAATGTAAATTACTTATTTCGTACAATAGATCTGAATTCACTACTGCTACTTTAAATATAAGGTTAGAAAACTATGTTTATAGGTTATTATAAGCGTTAAAGTTTTATTTATTAACACTTTGTTGCAGAAATATAATACAATTTACATAATTAAATGTAAAGTAAGGCAACTGTCTATATCTCGGACACACGAACATAGGGTCAAAACATTATAGAACATTAAGACTGTTAATGAACATAACCTAAGTTACAGCTATTCACAAGTATTGTAGAAACTTAAGTCAACATAATATTATTCATTAGCCATAATTATTGTATAGGCTCGATTGTAATTCGTGTAAGGTCGCACTCTCTTCTGCGAACTTTATTGTAGGAAAAAAAACCCCTCTAAAACACTCTTTAGGCATATATATTTCTCCTTATTCTATCTTTGTACTATATAGCGAAGGCGGATGCAAAGCGCGGGGAACGGGCGTATTACCGGGCGATTTGTGGGAGAGGCCTATGTCCAGCAGTGGACGTCAACAGGCTCAAACGAACGAACGAATGAACTATTGTTTAATGTGTCTGTTTCGTTTCCATATATATGTCCAGGTCTCATAAGCATGAGACTTTTCTTCGTAAAATTTTAAGAATATTTATTTCTCATACATAAGTCTATACAATTATTACACCGAGTTTTTAACATATTGTTTTTGTATGTTTGTAAAAATAAATATTCAGCCAAAGTAAGTAGAGATAAGTCACTAGAGTAGGTACTAGGTATATATCTCTGAAGTATCTTAAGACCTGCGCTTTTTCAACAAATACCTAAGCACTTTCTTAAACAAGTAGAAGTTATTAATACCCGTTCTCGGCGCTCCTCTGATCTCATTTCTCACTGAACCCTTAACTGGAGGGTGTAATTTTTAAAATTGCGTATTTAATTTACAAGGTCGACTCATTTTTCTCAAAGAAAAACCTTATTTACAGCGATGTCACAACACTTTTCCACGCGAATGTACAAGACGATGGCCATTTAGATGTTAATAGATTCTAAATAGACTATTTAAGAATATTAAAATAGTTTTCTTTAGGGCTAGAGATTATTTAAAACTAGAACAGCTTCTGCTATCTTTAAGATATATATTCTGAGGGTCTCAAACATGTCTTTGTAGATTAGTTGATAATGCAAAACAACAACGAAAAGTTGCGTAAAGGCCACGTGTAGCGGCATGACCGCTACCAGCTCCTTCAATTGATTATAATGGGAAAAATCCTGGGTAAACGGTGTGTTGGTAGAAGGAAAAAATAATGGCTACGCAACGTTAGGGAGTGGACGGGTATTGTGAAAAGATCGTAAGAGTTGCTGCATCTAGCACAGGACCAGACACGCTTCCAGAACCTCCAGTAATGGAGAGGACATCCATAAGAAGAAGAAGCACGTAGTTTAAAAATTGTTTTAGGTAACATTCCCGGCATTCTTATTTTTCGGGTAAGTAGGCACAAAATGCCGATCTCGCCTTAAAAATTATCTATAAAACAAACGTAGAAATATGCTCCATACCCCGATTAGAAAGTTTAAAGTCTCCAAAACTACTAAGGCAAAATTCATAATAAAATGTGTATGTCACGGGTTTCAAAAAAATCTCTTTATATCACACCGGAACAAAGGACTGTTTAAAACTTTAGAATATACACGGAATAATTTTACAGAATTCTAAGGCGAGTCTTGGTGTTTATGTTTGTAATTAAGCCCTCATTGCGCGACTGATGTCACACCGTCGTGTAATACTGCCTTCCTCAAATGCAGATTGCATTATTTCACCTTAGTCTTGGCATCTGTGAGTAACACTATTTAATAAACCCAAAGCTATAAGATAATGAACTTAAATGAGGAAAAGTTCTTAAATGAGGTACAAATTTAAATTAGTTCAATGTTTTTTCTCATATTTACGCAATGAAAAATGAAAGATATTAAAATTAAAGCTTTTATGTTTATAAAGAATAAAAAGTAACTATGACTGACTTAATAACTAGTTCAAATATGTTAAACCATAAATGTACTTATAAATCAGTTTTAGATAATCTGATATATTGTACATTTATCTAAAAAATCTGTGTTTCTAAAAAACACTTCCTAATAAAAAATTGTCGCACTATTCTCTCCTCCCGTCTTTTTCGTGTCAATTGTATTAACGCTGTGATGAAAAGAGACAGACAAGTAAATACTGACTTACGCAGTCCTATTACAGCAGTCTACTAAAGCACTGATCTGTGTCGTACCCCTAAATCAGTAACTGCATTGTTTACACTACAGTGTAATTGAGTGACTCGAATTAGCAAGCTGTTCGAGCGTGTTGTTACGTACGAGTATTATGTAGAATAGATTATACAATTTTCTTCTCTTATTTTAATTAAATTTCCTAGTATTAGAAATCTCTGAATAGCCTACTATATTCACAGTAAACCAAACAACCTCATCAACAAGGGTGCAAAAGTGAGGGCATCAGCTGGCTTGTATCTTTTTTTGGAATAGTGACTATCTTGGTTAAATACATCTAAATCTACGCTGCAAATGCTCCACGGAAATTGTGGTAGTACAAGTAAAGTTGTCTATTGTTCCAGCTGTTTATTGTCCAAGTTAAATCTTTTTATTATTGTTCCTCTTTTACTCTCCTCTTAAAAGGATTCGTTGGTCAATAATTGAAAAGAATATATTCTTGCGTGGGCGAATTGTAAAGCTATGGAAATAGAAATGGATTCATACCTGCGTGTATTGTGTATTATTAAAAGCAATATATAATATATTGAGATAAAAATAAATCAGTGGCGCAACCTTTTTTACGTCTGGGCCTTAGATTTCTGTATCTTTCATGATCATTTGTCGATCTAATAAGCAAGTAGGTGATTCTTCCTGTGCTTGACACACGCCGTCGACTTTTTTGGTCTAAGGCAAGCCGGTTTCCTCAATATGTTTTCCTCCACCGTTGGAGCAAATATTAAATTCGCACATAGAAAGAAAGTCCATTGGTCCACAGCCGGGGATCGAACCTACGACCTCAGGGATGAGAGTCGCACGCCGAAGCCGCCAACAATGCTCTTTTATATATATCTTCTTTATAAGCAAAGAAATAAAACAACGACCGTATACTCTATGTAATATTTATACATATCATGCGAAAGTATATGACATAGTGAGACAGGACCTAGTTTTGTGTGAGTAAAATTGTGACATAAAACCACCCTCGCGGCATTCAAAGTTAATACGACACTTCATTGTGTTACATTTTTGCTTTATTTTTTCATTCCACGTTTATCAATGAGATAGTGATTGAGGGATTTAAATTCTATCGATAAATAACATACATATATAAGAGATGGTTACCTGTTTGTAGAACGAACACAATGTCAATTTAACCTAATAATTTCAATAGTACACTTGTATACTTTATCTTTGGTAAAAATTAAGAGAACACAAAATATTTAAAAACTCGTTATATCGTCTCTCGTTCGGCTTTTTTCTATCGACAACAGCACATCCCTACGTAACCCGAGCATAGGGGAAAGAAAACAGCAACGTAATTATACAGGCTGATGGAATTTAGCACCCTCCGTGATACACGCTGTATATCTCCGTATAATGGCCTATTAACCGCGGCGACACTAAAAATAACTACATGCTATGCAAACGGTGCAATTTTACACTCAATCTATTAAAAGGGACAACGGATAGCCGGTCACTTTCAGTACCGCACTTCCTATTACAATTTAAATCAAATAATAATAAACAGCACAAATATAAGTCTTTCCTCCAACTCTGATTTTGTTCTCTTTGGAGTAGAGACTCTTGGGTCGTGGGATTCAAGTGCACAGGCGCTAATTAAAGAATTAAGTTGGCGCCTGGTAGTTTGTACCGGTGCTTTCCTCGCTACACAGCTAGGAAATGCTGCCAGCGTTAAAGATACACTGCCACAGGGACCAAACTTTTTAAATTTGCTTTAATTTCCCATTAATGAATTACAATGTAGGTTGAGAATATGGTAAATACTGTATATGTGTGTTCAAATAATAATAACACATAATATCTAACACATTTTAATATATTATGTAAGATCTGAAACAGGTGAAGAAGTCCCATAAAACCTCTGTAGATTAAGGTCTTAGCTTGCCTTATTTAAAATCAAAATTAAATGTAAAACTTAGGTCCGACGTGCACATATAAATATTTATAACAGGGAATATAGAACATTTCGGGCTGTCGACGCCTGTCCAAACAAATTTGGAATTGCAAAGTATATTTTGCGAGTCCCCCCACTCTCCACTCGCCTATGAATTATTAATTATCCCCCACTGTACTTTGTTTTGTACCTGAAATAGTTTCGAAGATTTTGAATATAAATTCAGTTAATTACTTTTAAATTCACTATTTAAATATTTTTGACTTGCATTCTTAACACCATGCGCCTATTTTATTTTATTCTAGGTACATGATCGTCACATATAGTTATCAAATCATTGTACAAGATATTGTAAAAACTATTTTAAAAGAGTAAGTATGCCCATTCTTCTCCATATGAAACTACTTTTAGGAAGGTGCAACTAGAATAATTTAAAAAAAAACTTCTGATTTTGACTTTCAAAAGTGCCATTTTAATACTTTGGTTATTTTTGTAGCTTTACATGCATATATGAATTTTAAGTAGCATCTACTGTACTTTGACATCTAAAAGCCCTTTTTCTAATGTCTTATCTATCTATTATACAAGAAAAAACAGTTATAATCGTAAATTAATAAGGGTATTATGATTATTTTCTTTTTAAATATGCGACGTTTCTAATGTTGTAATTTATAGAAGCAGAGGCAAACGGGCAGGAGGCTCACCTGATATTAAGTGATACCGCTGCCCATGGAGACTGAGCGTGTCCATGCCTGCGGGCTCGATAACGCGTTGTCGACCTTTAAAGTCAAATTGGTTCGGAAATACTTCAGTGGGCATCAACTTAAAAAAACGCTCAGTTATGGAACGGCGGACGTCGAGGTGATACGGGTCGAATTTCGTATTCAGCCTCGACGTCCGATGATAAAACTCAGCTGCAGGCATTAATTCGTTCTTTAGTAGACAAGTACAGATTCCAAAAAAAATATTTTAAATTTTAAAAACACATATTGAACAAACAATCCCTTTACTAATTACCAACATGGCAAGTGGGTCGTAATAAACGAGTTGAACAAACGAATCAAGTGACATCGAGCTATGAATTATTGATGCGCCATTAAACGATCGATTCCGTCTGCATAATTGGTATTCTGATCACCTCGGCACATTGAGCCGCGGGTTTGAGGCAAGAAAAATTAATTGGAATAATGGAAATTGTGGATTATATTTCCCTAAAGAGAACAGAAACACATACACGATACCAAGTTTCTTTACTAAGACCTCATGGAACATTACGATCTAGCCTAACTTAAGACTAATACCTAGGTAATTAAAGTCTAACTTAATTTACTAACAATGATATTAACATAAGAAAGTGTCCAATAACACTACTTAGTCTCTATAAAAGGGAAGACACTCTGTTCTTGTATTCTATTTTTTCACTGTTTAGCATTTAGTACAAACATGCACTAACACTAATTCACTAGATCAAATGATTTTGCCCTTTTCAGTCTTTTCACTAGGCCCGTGGTGAAAAAGTGAATAGCCTCGGCATTCACGTGATGGTGGAGCCTATGTTCGTGGGCGCCAGCAGAAGTTTTTATTATTGTCAACGATACCACCAAGTGATAAACCAGTCTTTGTCCAAAAACATTATTTAATTATTTAAACATTACGACAATTAGGTCGCGCGTGGTATATTTTACTTCTGGGTGTAACCCTCGCTCGTAAAGTAACAGAAAACATCGTGAGTAAACCGGCATGCATTAGACCCAAAATTTGACGGCATGTGTCAGGCACAACAGGCTGATCACCTACCTGCCCATGGGCAGGGGTGATCAGCCTGTTGAAGCCTTCTATTGAAGAAACAAGTTATCACGAAACAGAGACAGAAGTCATGTCTCAGGAATTCTTTAGTATACAGTTCTTTTTTAATAACTCAACTTTTGCATAACATCGACCGTGGCTACGAGGATGGAATAATATGCAAAAAACGACAAAAAGCTTATCAAAGTGTTGAACATTCAAAAGGTTCGCTATTCCGTCGCCGGATCTTTATAAAACAATGTTAAAATCAACAAGGTTATTAATCTCGAAATATCTCAGAATCTCCAACCACTAGAACAATCGTTAAATTTTATTTGCAAGAAAAATATGAGTTGGACACGGGAAAGTGTCACTTGGGACATAAGAAATGGCGAGTTATGAATGGAGGCACTTATTAGGGATTAGCCGTGGATTCACTCATCGTGCCTTTATGAGACAATTACTTGGCGGCAACAAATTGCCTTGACGTGTCTGCGTTTTATCTTAGTTAATCTATGGCTGTTTTTGTATGGGATTGCGTGGCTTATTGAATTTTAACATTTTGGCCTCTCCTTGTCTTGTAATATTCGGGTTGTATATTTTTAGTTGTTACTTCGAACAGTAGTAGTGAGATCTTTTAAACTAAGCTTTCCTCAATAGGGCAATAACTAGTTTATTGAATACGCAATTACATCATTGGTATTCAAGATTTACAATTTCGCAAAGTAAATAAATACTAAAAATAATGTAAAATAACATCTCCCGCATCGTTATTTGTAACGAAATTAGGTCGCCCCACGCTGCGTGCCCCAAACATATTTATAAAAGCTAGGATATATTTAGGTATTTACGTGTAATTTGGACTGGAACTAATGAAGCAAATCTAATTAGTCTATTTGGTAAGATGTTAGGATTTTTTTTTTCGGAAGACGTGATATTATGAAACGACCGAAAATATTTAGATACACATTTATTTTAGTTTAGTTTAGAAACTTAGTTCCTTTGCATAGATGGAACGGAGTTTGTTGAACATACGGAGGCCGACCCACAGAAATAACGAAAAGGACAAAAATATGCGATGTGTTAACAAAAAAAAAAAACTTAAATGGACTTGGACTGGGCAATAACGAAAAATGGACGAAAGACGTCATAGAATGCCAGAGAGAAGAAAGAAGCCATCAAATAAAGATATGGGAAGATGCTCTGCCGGAAGGATGGAAAACATGATGCTGATAACGTGTAAAAAAAATCAAATAGATAAATATAGTTTAAATGTATGTTATAGCTTTGGTTAAAGTTAATGTTTGTATTTAATGAGTGAATAGTCTTTTATTATTATTATTCTTTTGTTTCGGTTCAGCGGTATCTAGTCAAATCGCGACGGAGGAGGAATATGTTTTAAAAACTAATTTTAATTTAATAATGAATAACCAAAAGGCTTTCCGGCTACTTACAAAGCACGCTGAGTTGTATAGTACTCCTCATAGGCGAGTCTCGATGCAATGCCTCCTGTCTCGCCTCACATGTGAAGTCTGCGTAGTCATCTTCTGAAGTAGCTTTGAAGTGGACCCTGGGACAAATAGAAATAGTATCAAGAATATTTTATTTAAATGATTGCTGGACATATACAGTTCAGTGGGTATATTACAGTGTATCAAGCGGTGTCATATCTGATAGTTTGACATGAAGATGGTAGAATTTGCCTACGTTGCGTTAATATTAACTTGTAACATAAAAGAACTTAGAAACTTAAATAAGTACGAAGGATGTCGGAAACACACGATGAGAAGACTAGGAAAGCTTATAAACTTAAACATTGCCTCTACGTTTCGATCAGGTAATATTTCGAGTTGATATTTTCAACATTTTTAAAAATAAATTCCACTCCCGAGATTCGTTGAGATTAAACCCGCTGTCGTGCGACTGACGTGAGGAATTATGGCAAGTGTAAACCGAATTTTAAATCCAAACTAGTTTTTAGTTTATGTCAGTCTCAAATGGGACATCGTATTGATCTCATATTGCACTAGCACCGAGTTCATACATTCTGTAATCAGTATATGAAATAATCTTCTTAACGTTTACAGAAGGTATATATAGCATTTATGTTAGATTATAATTCCTTAGTTATTAGACTCAGGCTTAGAATTCCCATATCCATACGTTACACGATCGCTTAAATTGTTAACATATAATTATTTCTATAACCTATACATTAATAACCTATCTATATCTTAGATATGAGTAGTGATGGCCTAATGGCTTCAGCGTGCGACTCTCATCCCTGAGGTCGTAGGTTCGAACCCCGGCTGTGCATTAATCGTACATTACGGTGTTGGAAAACATCATCGACTTGCCTTAGACGGCGTGTGTCAGGCACAGGAGGCTGATAATATACTTGTCTATTAGATTGAAAAATGATCATGAAACAGATTCAGAAATCTGAGACTTAAAGAGTTTGTAGCGCCACTGATTAATTTTTTTACATCTTAGATATATAAACGACAACAAAATATGATGTCTACATAATAATTTCATCGTGTTGTCATACTGTATATTACGATGAAATTGTTGTTTTAATTTGATATTAAATCAAATTTAATATATTTCACGTTTAAGTCAATTATAAACATAAATATAGCGATTTAAATGCAAAATGATATATTCATAGAACAGAGGATGCAGTGGATAGGATGACAGTTTTGCTTACTTCGCCCGCACAAGCCGGAATAATGACATGTATCGTTTCGACGACAAGTGTCAAGTGTCAAATGTCAACGTCAGCGCGAATGTAAGATCTTTAACAGTTGCCTATCTAGAGAATTGTGTAGATCAAGACATACTTTATAAGTATTTACTTTTTATTATTTATAAAATTAATAAAAGTTGCAACAAATTAAAATTATTGAAATATTTTTTTAATACATAACCCTAGATTCTTGAGTCACTCGTTGGACACGAGTGTTGTAAAATATTCGAAACGAACTTAGTAAATAAGGGATCAAATCTGTTAAAATCCGTTAAACTTCTGTTTTTTACAACTTGATAAAAAACCATAGACTAGAAATACTCTTTATCTAACAACAATATAAGTAAGTCAACTAAATAGTGTTATATAAAAAAATGTATATATAAAGACTATTTCACACTACTGAGTGATGTTTACTTAGTACATAGCTATCACTTGACGTGAGTAATAAACCTGAGTTTTCGCCATCAATTCACAACTTCGTCTAACTTTGGAGCCATACATCTATTCGAGGAATAAAAAAACATGGATACGACCCACTATACACTGTTATTCCAACTCCATTCCATTTTTTTATTTACGTGTTTCTTTGCCTTAGCGACTTGTATTTAATGTGTTTTTTATGAATAAGTGCCAATAATATACGGCTCAAAATCATTAAGGTGTAAAATTAGGTCTTCTAGCAATTCAATGTCTTTAATCTTGATTTTAATAAAAATATAATTTAATAAAGACGTATGTTGTTAACAACATCAATATAATTGCAGAGATAGTCATTTCAGGAACGCATTGATTATAAAAAAAAAAATTGTGAACGCAGCCATTCGGTGTCAAACGTCAGTGGAGGAAGTAAACAATAACAAAGCCGGCTGTCAGCGTATTTTTCGAAAAATACATTTTAACTAAGTGGTGAAACGTACTTATTCAATTTATTATAAGTAGTACATCATCATCATCAATAGTCCGTCAATTCATGAACGTGTTTATTAGATTTAATTATGATAAAATTATTTTATTAATACACCCCACACTGCTTCGACAATTTTTATCATCAAGAGAAATAAGAATTTAATTAATATTAACATATGTATCTTGCATGTTTGATTCTGGGTTCTTATCTCAGATTTTGCATTTAATTCTGTAACAGCAAGTACAAGTAAACGTTAAACTGTTCCCATTACTCGTAACTCATCCAGCGTTTTAACTCTTTAAATTTCCCGACGCGCCTCAAACCGAGACATTTCACAAAAAGTAATTTATGTTCGGTCGCTTGTTGTTAGATGAAATGACATAAGGAAATAATATGAGTTACAAACTTTACTCGTGTTTAAATTTTAACAACGCAATTACTCGGATGACTCTTTGTTTGGGACGTATTATGTAAAACGTTGCTAGTTTTTAAGCGAAGTTTAATTATGATGTTGTAGGGTAGTTTTTGTATTTGTAAGTTATTTGGATGAGATGATAGGATTACGGCTAGGGTTTGAATTTGGAGTCAATATCATCTTCTTTGATTAGGGACAGATGGATGACTTATTACCTACTTACACGCATACTGCTGCAATGCAATGTACAAACATTACGACTTGACAATGATGAAGCCTTTGAGACTTTTTTATTAAATTTGTAAAAAATATTTTTTTTAAATACCCGTAATTTTTATTTATAGCTGAAGTCATAGGAATAGTTTTACACAAGAGTATAACGTGAGTGTTAGCAATGGCAAGTTGTATATACTACCGTCAATGCAATAATAAATTAATAATACAATTACAATTATTTAATAAAAATGTATATCAGGCAATACCGAACTAATTTAGTATATGACAATTTGTGTCGGATTGTGACAAGGGTCCGAATGACTGGCACAGATTGGGGAATAAAATAAATTATACCCCAGATTGTTACTACACACTAATATAGTATATTTGCCTTAGTGGATATTGGGGTAGGTTAGGGTTTATAGTTAATTTTGCCGGCTAGTTTGATTATGTAGAAGGTTAGGCGAAAAATATCACTAAGCCTTTTGTTATGAGATTGACATTGCACCAATTTTATTTATATTGTAACAGTAGTTTCAAGACATTCAGAAAATTTAGTGTCTTTTATATTTTTTAGGAGCTTTCGACAATATCCCTAATGCCTTGAGACAAGCTGAAGATAGAGTGCTTGGAGGCAGCATGTCGCCGTATCGTTAGAGCTTTTCAAGACAGACACAAACCTTCAGCAATGGAAACTAAGAAGAAGAGAAGAGTGCAGCACAATAGGTAGAAATTTGACTATATGATTTCTTTATAAGATTGTCTTTTATACAAAATTATATTATATACATTTACATTTTAATGTAAAATATATTTTGTAACCTCTTAAGACATTAAATATTGTGATTACAAAGAAAAAATATAAATCATCATAAAAAAATGCTTACCTAGATATTGTAGTATATCTCATAGATTTGGGGTTTCCGCTTGGGCTGTCCACTTCTCTTATTTCTTCACTGCCAACTGAAAAAGACAATCACATTAATGCTAAGTCTTGCAGCTTTTGTTTATACATTTATTTGGCCACCTAGCAGATGGTAATATCGCTTTTATGAAAAGTATGCAAGTTTTAATACAAAGTAACATTAATAGAATGCGCTTACTAAGAAACTTCTACGAAACATTAACGAACTCATGTGCGATAGTGACTGTATCACAATCTTAATAACAATATGTGTATATACGTATATATTAAGTATCCAAATACCCAATTGTGTAAGCTTTACTTTTATATACTACTTATACATACGGAAAGGCTCACATGCATAGGGAAAATACTTCACACACAGACAAGAAAGGTTAAATTATATGTATAACACAATTGAGGGCGTATTCAAACTCGAACTCAAAAATATCTTTATCCATATAGGTAAACAAGTACACTTATGAATTGTCAGAAAGAAGTTAATTGTAAATTTACATTTACTACCAGTTCGCAAGTCAAGGGCGTAGAGCGGGTAAGAAGAACTGGCAAGAAACTTTCCGCCACTCTTTTTAATCGCCAAGTATTGAGTCATACAAATTGTTTGAACTGGAGCAAATCAATCCCAAGGATCATTTAAGTATTCCTCAAATTTATAAAAAGCTTTATTGATTATTTTTCGTTCAACGACGGCTTTGAATTTATTTTGTGATAATTCTCTAATTTCGCTTGGGAGTTTGTTGTAAAAACGAATACAATTTCCATATAAGGAATGGTTTATCTTTTGGAGCCTGGTTGGTCGTACACTCAAATTAGTTATATTTCGCGTATTATACTGGTGAAAGTCATCAATTATTTTAAAATCGTTTATATTTTTTTGGACAAGGCTTCAAGAAAATATTGACCAGATAGTGTCATAATATTTAATTCCTTAAACTTATTCCGTACCGTATATTAATATTTAACACAATAGGTATTCATTATTAATACGCCCAAGTACAAAACAAGCCATACAATAATGAATACTGATCATGGCGGTCGAAAGTTACTCAACAAAATGGAACTGTATCTAATAATCTGCTAATTAGTTGACTTGTCTTCTAGACGTAAAATTTTATCAATCCATACAAATATGATGATTATAAATTGACTACTAATATTACGAAACAGTTTAACGTTAACCAACAAAAAATTATAGAAATGATTTCATATGCATTTGATGCACTCCTGATTCATTTAGGTAACACAATGTAGTCTTATGATCGTCAATAAAGAAATACGAGATATATTAAATGCTTTCAAGTTTACATTTACTGCTAGTTCTCAAAACCATGGTTTTTAAATGTAATATATTATGATATTTAAATGAATTTGTAAAATAAATGAATGTTAAAAACAAAGAATTGTTTGTTACTTCGCCACCACGGGTTGACGTCACGGATTTCCTTAAAATCTAATAATTTATTTAAGGACACATTTAATCGCTAAGATGATAAGCGCGGCAACGTCCTTGCACCTTTACCGATAAAAGCCTTCCAATTTTATAAATATTTTATTCCGCAAAAAGATTTCTAAGATTATGTACAAAATCATTTGAAGCATTATTTATAGGTAGAGAGGTTTTTTAAATAGTAAAGCGTTTATTATCGGTTAGGGGAAAAATCTTAGGTTTGGTTAATTTTTGCATACAGGTATAGCATAGGCAGCATTGGTGGAATGTTTCCTAGTCATTTAATTCTGTAAATAAGTTATAACATTCAAGAATTAGGGCGGAGAATAGCATGAAAATGTTAAATACTTTCTCTATGCAAATGCTCTATAAAATATGAATTTCGTATGCAAAACTGGATTCTGTGTTTTGTACAAGAGTTGTGGACTAAGTTGGAACTATTGTTTGCAAGTTTTACGTAAAAATTAGCTTCGTATATTAACGGTGCCGTTTTGCTATAACTGCTTTGATAAACTTTATCATAGAGAGTTTTCACTTTTTTATGATAAGAAAAGAGTACTTTATCAACTACATATTATCCTTATATTTTAAAAGCTATGTATATGTAAATATATATATATATGTCAAGTGGAAAGGGGAAGTACTTTATACAAACAAACTTTTTTTTTTCTTTTTTTTTCAGTTGACTAACCCTTGACCTTGACAAAGTTGCCGATACGACTAAAATAGTTTAACAATCTTAGCGTACTCTGAAAGATATACGAAGTGAATTGCTCTTTTTATCCCATCATAAAAATGGTTTCTAAATAAAATATTTTATGGGACCCCGAACCGAAGGACCCTCAAAATCAACTAGGCGCACATAAGCCCACTCTAAACGATTTCAACTATAATAATGATAAAAACGTTGGAAAATCGTTTTATTTCTATAGAAATTTTATGACAAATTTATATAGAGATTGTGGATTTATAAGAAAAACACCAACGCACTCGAACCTTCGAGTTACCTTAAAGAGGTTTTATTATCATGCTTATAATAAATATTATTGTAAAAATTTGTAAGGTGAAACATATATTTGAAACAGATGTATATATTTGGCCGAGTGGCTTGGACATTCGACTCTTAACCCTGACATCGTGAGTTCGAATCAATGCTGTGCATTAATTGATTTCTATGTGCGTATTTAACACTTGCCCATACGGTGAAGGAAAACATTGTATGCCTCGGACTTAAAAATCGATGTTGTGGAAAAAAATCTAGAAACAGATGCAGAAATCTGAGACCAAAGGCACCACTATTTTTTTAAACTATAACCAGTTTTTTTAGTAATTAAATTTCCAAATGAATCTACTGTAAAGTAAAAGGGACGAAAGCCGGGTCTCTGCAAAGTAGGTCTATTATACTATTACAGCGATTACCAAGGGCTACATAACAGTAAACGCTGTGTTATCTTCCTCAGCGGGCCAGTAACTGCTAAATTGCCGAAATTAACTTCAGCGCGACCCACGGGAACAACTAGTATACTAAAGCATGAATGTGTTATAACTTTCCTAGCTTTCCACCCTTCTACACAATTTTGTCTTTAATAATTTAAATGAAAAAACGGCTATGAGATGGGCTGGAATTATTTTCATAGCGTACGTATCTACGCAAGATTTATCCTTCTAATATTATAAACGCGAAAGTTTGTAAGTATGGATACATGTTTGTTACTCTTTCATGTAAAAACTACTGAATGTATTTTAATGAAACTTTACAAAAATATAGCTTATGCATCAAACACTACAATATACGCTACAATTTATATAGATATTGTGTGAATTGTCCAAAATATCAAGTTAGTAGGAAAAAATCTACCATCTGCGAGCTATTCTATTCTATTTTTGTGTCCCTTTTACAATCAAACCGCTAAAGAAATGGCAATGACGTCAAAAAATCGACTCATGTTATTTCCAGATTATAAATTGATAAACAAAGTATTGCATAGGAATTTACATTTTTAACCTGCTGCTAAAAAGGCCCCGGATTCACTTCTCGGGGCAAAAACAATTTGTTAAGTTGATAAAATTTAAGTATTTTATAAATTCTCACCTCTTATTTAACATATTTATGTAATTATTAAATATTTATAAAAAATATACTTTATTTAATAAACAATCATTTATCACAGGAACGTCTATTCAGAATGTTATTTTTTATATATCTTTACATGTATTGGTACTTTTTGAACATAAATCTTGAAATACATAAGTTTGTAATTAAATCGGAATGGGAATCGCATTCCAATTGGAAAGTTCTCGGAACTTATCAAATGCTTTTCACGTCGAAAACAGATCGAGATATTTTATATTAATTTTTAAGTTTGAACACAGAAATAAATAAAATTATTAACTCCCTAACACCGGCATCCTATAAAAGACATATATTTCAAACTCAAATCCTTTGTTCGAGATTCCATTGAACTAGTACTATAAAACATTAGAGCTGTTTGAAGCTTAAGATTAAACCGATAGTTAATTGAATCTGTATCATGACTACATAGTGTAATAAAAAGCTTTCAAAAAGCGCCGTATCAGCGAAATCCAATCGGAAAACTTTGCGATAATAATGCCTCAAGGGGCTGTCGATAAAATGACATAATGTATAAAAGGGTAATGTCGATAAATCTTCTCGTCAGATCATGCTTTGCTGGATTTCATATACGTCGATATTCGTTAAATGCATCACTAGTTTTAGTGATGTATAGAACTGGATAGGGCTTAGTTCGTTTAAATGCTGATTAAGAACAAACCAATACATGAATTACAAGTCACGTGCAAGATAGGATATGTTTAAGAAGTATTTATGTAGAAGACTTAAGAGCTTAGAGAGGAAGCCAATGTATTAATAATACTCTAGTCCCCTGCCATTGTGTCCAGACTCCAGGGACTTTTTCTATTTCCCAAATTTAAAAAAAAACAAGAAATATGTTAATTCCAATAGTTCACGAACGGTGAGTACCCCGTTCGTGAACTATTGCTTTGACGCGTAGCAACGCGTCTTGCCAATATATAAGCCAATGGTTTGGAGTCGGGAAGTTTATTCCATAACTTTATGGCAGATATCCTAAACGACTTGCCTAAAAAGGATGGAATTTCCAAGAAGAAGACCTCATTTTTAAGATAAGAGGTAGTTTTGGGATTGAAAATAATTGACTATCAGAGATGAAGGAGACGAACCTCACGTCTGAGACGAATAGCCCCACCTAAGCCTGCCTGCGATTATTCGAATTAAAAAAAACTTTAATTTGAATTCTAATATTTACTTTTTTTATCATTAGCACTAAAATTTTCATTTGTGAAATTAGAATTTCAGCGAAATAAACAAACATAGCCAAATTCATTTTATTTTGAATTTGAGAAAGGAGGTTTAATATATCTTTCATTCTATATCTGTGGCAAATTTTAATAACATTGAATGACATTGACATGACTTCTCAAATGCGGATGGGTTTGCCCTTATCAAATAATGATTCTCTTCCCTTCTTGCTGGCAATATTTGAGATTTCTTTTACGATATTGTTCTTTGTATTAAGTCGCTGAGAGGGCAATTTTCTTTGTTTCAGTGACCTTTGTTTAAAAATATTGAGGCAAGGGAAACTCATATTTTCTCTATTTGTGACTCTCGATTTGGTTTTTATACTGGACCTAGAACTTACATTTATTAATTGGATTAAAGTCTGCAAGGTCATACGTTTCTACTCAGGCTGTGCTTTTTTTATGTAATAGGAGGCAAACGGGAAGGAGGCTCACCTATTTGACAGGGTTCTCTAAGAAAAAAGTGTACTCATTTTTAAAGGTCGGTAACGCACTCGCGACCTATTGAGAGTGCCTATAACTATATAATATACTATTACTTATAATACCGTCGCCCATGGACGGACGGGTGGCTGGAGTTTGCCCCCTGTCCTATAAAAAATAATTATTTATATGCACGATGAAGGAATTACAATTTGAGGAAACCGGCAAGTCTTAACTAGTTAGCTTTTGCGCTTGACCCCGTGGGTATTAAATCCGTTGCCACTCGTACACGTCATCACTTTTCGTGAATATAATTTCAGTGTCATCAGAAAAGTGCTATGTATAGCGGCATTTGCGACGCCCCGGTCACGGTCACAAAACTCACGAGACAAAGAAATCATTCAGAGTATTGTCCCATTTTCTGTGAAGATTCTTCGCTCTAAATTTCTCGAGTTTTAATCTATCAGAGGCACCACTTTTTGCTGTATGAGCATGTCATTCAATGAGTCGTGTAAATTAACGTGTAAAGGTTACTACACAGTAAATGACTACCTAGAAGACGAAAACGCGTGGCAATAGTTCTAGTTATATTGTTTTAATTTGTTTTGTTATGTTTGTAGTGTTGTGAATAAGTGTGTAATGGTGAATGTGGCAAATCACAGAACAGATATTTTTTTACTTATGTAACTTTAATGACGTTGAGGTCTATGAGATTTTTCTTTGAAAAATTGTAATGTAAAGGGAGGGCAAAACTTGCTGAGTTTCTTGCCCGTTCTTCTCAGAACAAGGCCTCCTGGTAGTTTTGCGAACGGATGGCGTAGTCTTGCTCTTTCGTGAATTTTGTAAACGTTTTTGACATTCATAAGCAATAAGCATGCATCTAAACTGAATAAACATATTTTGATTGATTGATTTGACGACATAATTGGCAACATTAAAACGTGGACTACAAACACGTGTGTAGTCTAAAAAGCTCTCCAATAGGATTTTGTAGTATGTTTTAGAATTCGTAAATACAGTCTTTTTATGCTAAACAAAGGAAAATGACAAATTATGAGACAATACTAATTAGGACAACAAGAATTTTATCAATAATTGGCTCCCATCACTAATTGGTTCTGTCATTAATTAAGCAAGTTTTCAATTTCAATTTGCAAACAGCTGAAGCGGAGTATCGATATCGATACAACACTATTCGATATTGTCCATTAATTTGTTTGTTGATCTGCAGGTATTGGCAAAATTGTTACCAGAATGAACCAACTCATTGTCGCTTTGAAGTATCATTTCAAAAGGCTGCTTCAGTTTACCTATGTATACTTCAGTTATTTTTTCTACGATTATTTGGGCTTAGTATAAAAGTTAACTTGGACTTCGGACTTTTAGTATAACACGGCAGAAAACAATTAATGTCTTTATAACATAAAGAGTCAATTAGTAAATCAATGTTTTCAACAGCTACTTAGTAAATGAACATGAGTTACATATATTTAAGTTATTTATTTATTTATTTATTAAGGAAACAAACAGATACATCTCTACACAGTAAATAAAATAAAAGTGAAACATAAAATAAACACATAGGACATATCCAAAAAAAGTTTCACTGATAAATATGAATACAATACAAAGTAAAACAAGACAAAACATGACAGCACAAAATTTATAAATTAGGAGAACGACAAACAAACTAGCAGCTATATAAAAAAAACAAGGAAGATTAAGACATTAAGTGTTTTAACTTATTCCTAAACGAAGCACTAGAGGAGTGCGAAAAAGGGTCAATGTTAGTGGCAGAACACATCCTGTGAAGAGGCTCACGGAACCCAATGTTGGTTCTGGGAGTCAGAAGGTTAAAAGTTCTATGCGAGCGCAGAGATCTGGCAGGAACATTAAATGGTATCAGTTCGAGAAGAATGGAACAAGTTATTTCATTTACGCATATTTTTCTAATAGTGACACAGTCTGTCAAATTACGCCTAGTACTCAAAGAAAGTAATTTTTTTTTTTAAAGTTCCTTATATTTAGACCTACCACCAATGTTAAAGTAAAGTTACAAGTAAATCAGTCGATTCCTAAAACTAAAAACGTTATCAAAATGACAATCAGTACAATAGATCGCGCCAATTGCGACAACAATGACGTAACGAACAATAGTTGTTGATTTGACTCGCGGATATTGTCAAATCAACAACTGTATTGTTCTTTGATTCTGCCGCGCGCAAAACAAATGATTTGTTTCAACAAATAGAATTATATGTACTTCTATATACTATAACAACTATACTAATACACTGTACGAGGGAGGATCGCAGTTCTCTGGCGCTTTTAAGTGTGTTTACTATGTTACAATAAAATTTACTCAATAATTCTAGATACTTTCTGCGTACTTTAAACTTTAATTTTTAATGAAAAAAAGTGTGCCTACAATCTTTTAGGTTTGGGTTCCAGATTTACATGAAGTTGTACATGAAAAAAAAATACACCAAAAAAGGATGATCTTTAAACAATGTGACCTATTCACATTGTTTAAAGATTAGGAATTAGACGTATGAAACAAGATACAACCTTAATTACTAATTAAACCAATAGCGCAAAAGCGCATAAAAGTCTATAGAATTTCAAAATAGTATTTTTAAATATCAATCGTACTTGAAGAACTAATAAATGAAAAATTAAATTGAAAGCTATCTGGTAGCAAGCGCTTTCCGCGCAGTTAAATCAGATTACTATAGAAAATATGAAGTTTTATTCTATGGAATTAAAATATGGTCTTATTTCATGCCGTAGACCTCCATTTTGTTTTAGAATTTAGCTTAGTTCTTATATATAGTTGCCTCTTGGCATAAAACATTTGTGTTTTGCTATTGAATTACTGAAGAGTTCAACTAATAATCTCGTACGTGTGTCGTATGTCACTGAACTCCACTTAAACGGCTGGACCGATTTGAATGATTTTATTTGTATGCGTTTGGGTGGCGTCCTGAATGGTTTATATTCAGATGCAGATGGCGCTGCAGTCGGTATATAGGTAATTATCTATACAGGAAATAAACAGCTGGTATATATATAAATCTTCTGTGCATGTGTTCCTAATTAAACTCCTAAACGGCTGGACAGATTTTGATAAAATTATTATATTTTTCTTGTATGTAACGACAACGTCTGTCGGATCCGCTAGTATTCATTATAAGATAGTAACAAGAACTTGTTTTCATTTAATTTCAAATACAGCAAGTGTCATAAAAGTATCTACTCATCTATTATTACTTTTTTTAAAAGCAAAACTATGAAATAATATAAAACATTGTATTTGACATTTCCATACATCTTTTATCTACTATGCCTCCAATAGTAGGACTACGACGAAATAAATAAATTTAAAAAACTTACCTCTATCTCCTGTCATCTCCTGGTTCCCGCGAAACCAGACAACCTTTGCAGCAGGCTTGGCGTTCTTCGCCTGACACTCAAGGACAACATCCTCCCCTTCCTTTACCTCCAGCTTCGAGTTGTGGGGATGGTTCACGACTTCCACAGCGTTTGGTGGCGCTAGGGACAAAGAAAAATATTTATTAATTTTTATTGTCAAACACGACTTCAGTAAGTATCATTACTATAATTTGATTTTATACACAAGTAGGTGTATAAAAACCAATCATTTAAATATAAAGGGTATTAATTTGATATGAAAATATTCCATTCAAATATCACTTTATGTTAAAAACATTATTAATGGGACAGCTTTTTAATTTACCGTTCAGAATAATTTGAGCAATTCAACGAATTTTAATGAATTATTATGAATTTAGAATGAATATTAATTGCGACTTTATTAAAATACTAGCGACCACTCTGGTTTCACGTTTCCTTTTGGGCTTTTAATCACATCCTATTTACAGAGTAACAACAAACTATTGCTTACTATACTATGTTCTCTACACGTATTTAACGACAGGAAACCACCGCTTTTTAGCTCTGGTCCCAGATTTCTGTATCTGTTTCACGATAATTTGTCAATCTAATAGGCAAGTAGGTGATCAGCCTTCAATGCTTGACACAGGCCGTCGACTTTTTGGGTCTAAGGCAAGCCGGTTTTATCACGATGTTTTCCTTCACTATTTGAGCGAATGTTAAATGCTCACATAGAAAGAAAGTCCATTGGTGCCAGCCGGGGATTGAACTTACGACCTCACGGATGAGAGTCGCACGCTGAAGCCACTAAGCGAACACAGCTCTTTATTTACTTATAATTTAGAATATAAAAAGATTTTTTGGGGCAACAGATATAAGATAATTGTAGCGATAATAGCCACTGGGCCACGGGGGCGGTTAGTCAATGAATAATACAACACTAAACCGCATTTATAACAATTTCAGGTAACATAACACCTGATTTCATAACAAATATGGCGCTCTGACCAATCTCACCACAATAGTTTTTCACTCGAGAATCGTGGGAAACATATCAACTCCATTAAAGGCTTGAGTAACTTTTTATTTGCTGGGATTATCCTTTTTAGTTTTGCTAGAAGTGCGTTTAAGTGTGTACCAAAGATTAAATCAGCAGCGGATGCTACGTAGTCCAAAAATATGCTGGAAACTAAAATATGTCTAAGGAACTATAGATCTAGCAATTATTTGAAAAATTCCAAATGAGAGATACATTACGCATAACAATATTCCAAAAAAATATATTTATAGAGCTGAAGAGTGTCCTTTTATTAGTTTTATAATATGAGTGTAATAGTTCGAAATTCAAAACTATTTTTCTTTTGGATACTCCAGATTCGAGGACACTTCAACCAATCCGTGAAACTACCGCGTTTAAACCGATTTTTTGAACAATTCAAAAACTAGGAACACGAATTTAATAAATTTATTTAGTTTAATTTTATAACAACACAAAACTAAATATAGACATGACAAATCTTTATAAATACCGCGCTACATGAGGGACGGAATTTGCGTTATACGAAATCGCGTTAAAGGGGTTTACTGTACCTACATACAAACACAGAGCTACAATTAATATCAAGACTACTAATAAAGGAAGAGTCGTATACTTGTTTTAAAACATACATACATATGAACATTAAAACACCTGACATAATAGATAAGTTATTGAGATCGGCAAAGTTCATTAACCAGAAGGTATGTTATCAAAATCAAACAAAGCCGGGGTCTTTGTATAATCTGTTTGTTCGGTTAAAGATACTGACGGGAAATTATAAATTGTGGCATGCATTTAAGACGAGAGCACGTCAATTAATACCACACACGAAAATATACTAACAAAGAAGAATTGACAACTTAAAATCTCTTCTCAATATAATGTTTATTTAATTTACCCTAATCCCACTTTTGAAGGTTTTTACTTGAGGACTAATCAATTCAATAATGCACGGTATGAACCGTGAATCATAAAAATGTCATATTAATTATAATAAGAGTTAAGTTATTTATTTATTACAAAACTTATGGGTCAAAATACTCCCTCGCTACAAAGGCACCTTGGTTTTAAAAATAAGCCCAAAATGCAAAAAAATAGAGCCTAACTTCCGATATCTATTAAAAACTAACAGTAATTATTCAATGTCGGTATAGTGTATTAAGTTTGCGGCGTGCGTTCAGATCCCAACACTGCACCATGAATTTTCCTTTCTATGTACGCAATACTTGGTCTAACGGCAACGCAAACATCGTGAGCAAACCGGTCTTTCACATATTGACATTCATATAAAATCAAAATTTAATTTATTCATAAGCGTTACACTTATGAAAGTCAATAAAAAAATATTCTTCAAAATAAGCCTTAACCAAAGGGTAAACACAGTTTCCGCACTTCGGTCCAGCTCTTGAAAAACCCAAATGATGTCTAAAGAAACCTAACGCCGTTCCCAATTCGTTAAGCCTTAGTAAAACTACGCGTTTTATATTTAAATGTTTTAATAAGTAAATGTTGAAATAAATAAATGTTACTTTGTGTAAAGACAAGCAAAAACACGAGCGAAATCCATTTAACAATAAAGTAACGACCGAGAAAGGATAATACACAATAATGCAGTGTTTTAAAAATTAAAATGTAAAATATAAGTAGAGCATAATTTTCATCCATTCATCATTCATAGGGAAGACTCGCTTCGTGTTTCGTTTAACCAAAATCTCTTAATAATTTGTGTGAACAACACAGATTTATTACGTGCTCTTGCGCTGGCGCAAGTTTTGAGAGCGAGCGAACCTCAACTTAGATTTTAATTTCACTTTTGTCGTAGACATTTAACTACATAGTTTTGACATTAATAAAGAAAAAAAATCGTCAATTAAATATTATTTCACAAAAAAAATAACTCTATTGTTTAGTGCTTAATAATATGAATTTTTGTTTTTTTTTGTTAGAAAATATATTGACTGCGAGGCACAGAAAGATTTTTCTTGGTATTGTTTCTTACTCTTTTTTGCCAAAAAAATTTAGTCATAATAATAATAAGCGTAATTTTACTGAAAAAATAACTACCTCTTTTAATATTTCTTCTATTTTTATTAAGCACTTATAATATAAGAGCTTGTTATTTACTTGTTAAAAAAAATATTGACTGCAAAGCACAGAAGGAGTTTTCTTTGTCATAGACGTACTGTTTCTTACACTGTGGGAGCAAGTAATTATTGCGCATATAGACACATGTACACTGTACAGCCAGTTTCGAGAGTCCCGTGTCTAATAAAAATGAAAGAGCCTTTAAGCTAAAATCGCTAAAGCCCACATCTCGAGACCGAGTAACAGGATATTGCTGTCTAGCGACCAACGGTTCCGCTCTCCTGCCCCCATACAAAGGTGGGAAACTCCGCTTTGTTGTGGCCAGTGGTTGACAACGCTCGGTGGCTCGTTACTTTTCTATTTTTATTCATTATCTTTGTTTTGTTAAGATTTTTACCTCATTAATTTGAAATGTTGGTTCACTATTATAGTTTACTTTTATGAAACGGTCTCCTAGATAACGTGTTCTCCAATTAAAAGCTTTAAGTAAGAAACATTCGCAAAAAAAAGGTGTGTTGTGTTTTTCTGTCTAAAATTGTAATTTCTGCTTTCACGATTTATTTTACATAATTATTTTATAGATACATAGACAAAACTAAAGAAACTAGTTCTTAGTCGCTACTTAGCTAAAAGGGCCGTTTAATTTAGCGATTTCTTGGTTTACCAATTTCCTTATATTGATTTTATCTTCATGTATTTATTACATACATTAGTTTCGCGATAGTGATATAGAATTTGTAATTTTGAGTGATAAGCTTCGAGCTCCGTCATCGGAGTAGCTCAGTTGTACAATCATACCAAATTATATCACCATTAGATCAAATATATGTTTTAAAATAAAGTTACTACAACAAATTATAGCTAAGAACTATTTTGACCCCAGCTTTTTAACAAAATACGCTTTATAATCTGTGTATTCCTTTAAGAATAACGTCGGTGGTAAACAAGGCTCAAAAATCAAAACTTTCAAATGACAACTAGTCTAAGAGAAATTCAATTCAAGTTTTTTGTTACTCTTCTTCTATCGCCTATATCTGCATCAGTTAGATATATTAAGATAGAGTTTTTAATATTATACTTCGAGAATGTGACATACATATTGTCACTTCAAAAGACGGTTGCACCCGAGAATGCAAGACATGCGGGTAGAAATTCTTTTGATCTACACAATAACCGTGCAAGTTTCAATCTCAAACTTAGGGTTGTCACTTTTCATAACATAATTGGTAGAAAACAGAACCCTTACACCGAGTACGAAAATAGGCAGACATGCGGCTCATACTTGGAAAAATTCTTTCTGTCCGACACATTTCTACATCTTTTATAGCGCTATAACGCTCGCAAGTGCGTTGCCGGCCTTTTAAGAAATGGTACGCTCTTTTCTTGAGGGACCCTAAGCCGAATATTCATGTTCATGTTCAGAAATGTTCTTCAGTGGGCCGCTGGTTCCACATTGTGGTGATGCGCGGCAACAACTAACTGGCTTAAATAACGGTAATAGTTGTGGAACGACTGACGTCGAGGTGATACGGATGGAATTTTGTATTTTGCCTTGATGATGAAACTCAGGTATTAATCTGAACAAATCCTTTGAACACTCTCCATGGTAAATGCGGTAGAAGATGCAGAGAGATCCCACATTTCTATGCAACGCCAAAGGATCAAGCCGCTCGGACGACTTCTAGTAGTTATCTAATAAAACAATAATAATGCATACCAAAACTTTTCCATACATTTAGCTTGACTCAATAGAATTATTAGTTTAACTTGTTGACAGCCCTGCATGACGTAGTTTGAAACTTGGCGAACAATGTGTCCGGGCATATCGACCGTGTTAATCTTTACCAGGCCTCTATATAACTTAGATGTTTAGTATGTATGATATACGATGGGGCAAAGGGTATGGGACATTGCGGTTGTTTGTTTCATTCGTCATTTTCAATCCAAAATACAGCTGCGCGACTAAATATTTGTTTATTAAACTAGTAAGGAACGGCCTACCAATACAAGGAAAAATAAACTTAAATATATCATATATAAGAAGAATATAGGTAAAAACTTTAGGTGTAATGTAAATAACTTTTTTTTAAAGACATGCACAACCGAAAATAATTTTGAAGATTTATGAAACTTTTTAACGGTTACGAACGGGAATATATAATATGATTTACACAAATTGTCGTTTAAAATGCTTTAGTGTTGTCCTAGTGGCGTTCAGCGTGTGACTCTCATACCTGAGGTCGTAGGATCGATTCCGTTGTGCCCCACATTCTTTCTATATAATTTAACATTAGCTCGAACGGTGAAAGAAAACATCGTGAGGCTTGCCTCAGAGCAAAAAAGTCGACAGCGTGTGTCAGGCGGAGGAGGCTGATCACCTACTAGGTTATGCCTAAAGATCATGGAACATATACATAAATCTCAGGCCCATACCTAAAGAGGTTGTAGCGTCACTGATTTATTATAATTAAAATTCTTTACACCAGTAGTTTAACTTAATTAAATGACAGATACCAAAATTAACCTATATTTAAATTGTTATTGAATTATAAATACAATATTTTTCAAAATAAATTCACACGTATTTCATACACCGCTGTAAGATCTACTATAAACTACATTTTATATAAAATAGTGAATGAAAATAAATGAGTCGTTGAAAGCGCACGTCTTTACATGACTTCCAAAACCCTTACAAGTCCTTTAACAGGTTATTACGTTACTTTTCACGCGTTCACCCCACTTTTAGAGATCCTTGCGACAAATCGGTAAAATTCAATTTAATCTATTAGAACGACATTTAATAAATTCTTATTAACTATATAATCTATTATCTAATTATTAATGCTTTCAGAATATTTACTCCAGAACAGCCGAAAACAGTTTTGGTGACAGTCTCCCTATCTCAATCTACCTACTAAATACCCATAATCCCTCTTGATTTATTCATTTTATACTCTAGTTTTTCAACTTTTATATATATTCTCGATTTTTTTATATATTTACTGAAGTGGCAAGATATTGACAGAAACCGCGGGATTTGGAAAAAGGTCACACAGATATTCAAAAAGAATGAGATGACATAAATATAAATGTGATTAAGTGTAAAAGTATCTGAAAAGCCTAAAATATTAATGCAAGATACATTATTTACGATAACACAGTTACGAAACAAGAAAAATAAAACGGCACGTTTATCCAATCATACGTAAACCTCAAAATATACGTAAACGCAAGTATAAAACGCCGAACTATCTATAAAAATATTTCGGTCTACGGAACCAATACTTGACATCGACACACTTGTCCACATCCCGACCTCAAGTATTGGCTCAGTCGAGCGTTCAATCCGGTGAAAAGAATTTCCTTACCGACGGAAATTGCTTGAAAAATGAAAAACCCGAATGACTTGAAATTTCGGACACGAAATTGTCGCCACCACTTGTTTATTTACCACTCGAAATGAATTACGAATAACGAAATGTTAGTCGCAAATTATGCAACAATTCCCTTAAGTCCGCCATTATAGTTCAACGTTGAAATTCAAGAGCTTAAAAAGCAACTAAATTATTTAATTGTCGGAAACATATAATAAATTATAGTTAGAATTTTCAAATTTCATTTTTGTTAGGCGTTAAGTTTGGAATAATTTTGACAAGATACCTTCATAATTAGGTATCTAAAATAATGTTTTTTTTAACGTATATATGTAAGTTACATGGAATTTTATAATTTCATCTTTATGTAAATATGAGTTGTTAATTTTTAGGTAGAATACAAATTGGTAACAATATTATAATAATTAGTTTACAATGTTAGTTACAAAGTGCGACAGTAGAAACCTGTTATTGACGCCCGTGCCAAGTGTCGAGGTACAGGCTGCCTGTCTGTCAATTAATAAATAAAAACACATAAATTCAATCAATTTAGATAGATAGATAATTAAGGTTAGATAAAACACACTTTTTAAACAAATAAAGACAGCAATTGCTTTCTTTTGAGTTTCTCCTATTCTTTCCATTACACTATACAGTATAATAGCAAAAATAGGCAAAGTTTTCGCAAAAGAAATGAAATAGGCCTTTCACCTTAAAAAAGTGCTCTTGCTCCGCACGTACGAAACTTCTCAATCTAAAAACACTAGAAGTTCAAACAAATAAAAACTTTGTAAGAAGTACAGTGGCACGTTTTAATTAGGCGTTATCTCCCTTCGACAGCCCCCGGGGGTATGGGGAGTTGTAAAAGTCAATAATTACCTTTGCTCACGGTCAAATTCGATGTGCTCTTAGGTCGAGGGTTTTGTAAGAGCGGAAGAGAGCGCTTGCCGCTCATTGTCACACCGATCCTTATCTACTCTTTTTAAAATTAATCACTAAACAGTATAGTGTTAATTAATAATGAAGGAAGTATGTATCTATAACATTTATTTAATTTTATTCTAGAGTTCAGTCATTTGATAACTATGTTTATTTATATCTAATATATAATAAAATTCTCGTGTCACAATGTTCGTTCCCATACTCCTCCGAAACGGCTCTACCGATTCTTATGAATTTTTTTTTGCATATTCAGTAAGAATGAGAATCGGCTACTATCGATGTTTCAAACCCCTAAGTGATAAGGGGTGTCCACTAAAAACTTTTTTTTTTATTATTTTGATATTTTTTTATTATTTTTTTACTATGGCGCATTACATGCAACCGTAAATTTTCACCTCTCTAAGATCAACCCCTATTTTTTATTAAACTAAAAGAATGTTTCCATGAAATAATATACCTGGCAAAACGACGTTTGCCGGTAGCTAGTAGCGATATAAAACCGAAATTAATATATGTAATTGATTAGAGGGTTTATTGTTATAAATTGCCTGTCTTGTTACCGCTACACGCCACGCTCCGCTTATCACCAAAAGCAGTTCTTAAGCACTATTTCTAATTGCATTTCAGCACCATTCTATCGAATTAGAACACCCTTTGTTAACATTTCTAAGACAAAGTGTTGTGATATTTCATTCCACTTTCTTTGTACTGAAATCAGTGTGAACGTTTCATCAATGCTAACATCAATTATTAATCAACGAAATGAAGTTGGAATTGAATCTTTTTTTATAAAATTGTAAGAGGTTATAAGGGTTATGTATAATATATAATTCATATATTAATTAGATCTTCTGTCGGGAATTAATTTCAGAAAAAAAATTACACGAGAATATAGACTCCTCCGTAATAGAAAATTAGGTTACAAAGAAGTTTGGTATTGAGTATGATTGTTCAATCAAGCAGCATACATACGGCATATAAAAATATATATATATTCTTCCCCGTAATTAGTGATATCCATGACGTGTATGATACACTGATAATGAAATAATCTGCTTACGCATCTTTCGCTGTAACTAATAGGATGATTCCCAACTTAACTTGGCCCAGGCTTGAGTTTGCTTTCTAGCGTCAACTTTCAAAGATGCTGGGATGATCCGCTTTGTAAATCTGAATTCCAAAAGTTATTAGGTCACACTTCAATTACAGATTGCACAAGGTTGGTGGCAGTGGGGTTCAAGTGTACGGGCGCTAATTAAAGATTTAAGTTGGCGCCTGGTAGATAGTACCGTTGACCCCAGAGCTGGTGCTTTCCTCGCGCAACGGGTAAGTATCGCAATACAGTGAGGAAATGCTGCCAGTGTTAAAGGTACACATTTCTTTTTATTAATTTTTAAATAATTTATTAGTACTATGTAGGTTAAAAAAATTTAAATACTCTACATTTGTGTGTTGGAAATAGTTTGATTCAAATGAGTAAACGCGTAATATTCATGAGTTAGTGCAATGTGAATTAATTTAAACCATCTAAAAATTTTCGAGGTGATTTAGCCTCTATGCGTTAACTGTATTGTTTTTCAGATATCGCTGGCGGAAGCTGAATTTTATAAAAGAATCGGACTAGACTAATAAAATCGGATTCTCTTAAATCAAAATACACATATTTAAGCTAGTTAACGGTAATAAAACTTATGACATTAAATAACGAGCGATTTAACGGCGCTGGAAAAACGAATAGCATTCTTTGAGTTATGCGATAGTAAAAAATTAATTTATTAGATATTTTATGGTGGCTGTACGCAGTAAATTATTTTAGTAAATTTGATTAACATCTAATTGAAGTTATGATAAGCAGATTATCGTATTTCAGTGACATAATTTAATACACAATAACCCTACATTCGTTATTATGAAGATAAATACTTTGCGGCCCAAACATTCTTGAATAGTATTTCCGGAATTCGAATTTAAAAGTTTCTTACTTCATTTATAAATACTTAACAAAAATGTTCACACACTCCAACACTTCTAAAGAGCGTATATTTTCTTGCTTCTTTGAAAAAACTTTTATCGAGAAGCCAGTTATTTAAGGAATGGACGAAGTTACCGAGTCGCTAACTAGCTTTCGCCGGCGGCGTTGCTCAACAACTTTACAGCAAGTTGTTTGTGCATTGTCGTTGGTTTGTTGTACAATAGTTTCATTTCCTGTATTAACTTGGAGCATGACCACTGTACACTTGTTATCAGTTTGGAAGTAATGTTAAACTTAACGTCTAATGGTAGATTAGTACAGACTTGTGAAAATTAGGCGCATTTGTAAATATCAAGTTTGGCATTTAACGAGCCAGTAAAATAACGAATCACTTTTGGTCAATTACTCTTAAGTATTTACACAACTTAGGGTCCTTCCATAAAAGAGCGTACTGATTCAACGGCCGTGAATGAGCACATCAACAGCCCTGTTCTCTAAAAGAAATAGTTACGGTAGAATGACTACTTATATACCCAAATAACGGTGCAACTTGGCTACGAAATATAGGGCTAAAATATAGTCGTGCCTTCCTAAATCCAATATCAGGCACATTATCACCGACTTGGCTCATACGGACGCAAAGAAAAAAAGCAAACGAGGCCACGAAGACACAGACAATTTACTTGGATGCGAATTGAGAGCTTATTCGCCGAGACATAACCGTATCGCTAAATGTCCGAGTACTGCCAACTGCCAGATTGGACAACGTACCAAATAAAATCTTTTATTTCTATTCGAATATTGTACTAGATATTTTTATAATTATGTGACTTTATTGCTTAGATTTTAAAATGTTTTCAGAGCGGCTCCCGGATAATTCGGTGTGCGTTTCTCAACTATGACATGGTAATTTAAAAGTGCAATAACAGTTCTATTTAGAAAAAAACACATTATTTAAATCAAAATACTTAATAATTGCTCGTTGTGAATTCTAAACAGCAAGATATTGTGATAACTGGTATAAATAGTAGAAGGTTTATTGTGAGACAAACAAATAGTTAAGGTATTGTTATAGTTTCAAGTTTAAATCATTCAGTTGCCATTGTTGATTAAATAAACGTAAGAAAAAACACAGGATACACGCCCAATAATAATCATAGCCAACAAATTGTAAAATGCATATTCCTTAGTAGCATATAAACGGCGAATTGGCTGGATGTTTTCAACTCTTTTTAGGCTATAAACAATCAGAGGCCAAAAAGTAATGGCTAAAATCGTTAGTGCATTTGTTTTTCCTGTGAGCGGGGCCCTCATAATGCGTTCGGAAGATCAGATCCATGCCAAGTAGGAACATCCCGAAACATTGCACTTTTGGCAAACGACAGTGTATTGTTTAATTTTTACTCTTATATCTTCAGATTTGGCTTGGGCATCGTATCGATTTTGTGATCTGACTGTTATAATGTACGGATTATCTTGCTGTTTTATTGCGGGCAAATGTTTTATAGAGCTATAAAGGTTACGTTAATTTTATTTAACAATCCAATGTACAGTATTTACAATTGTCTTAACCTAAATAGTAATAATAATAATAATTAAAAATTAAAACAAATTTAAAAAGTTTAGTCCCTGTGACAGTGTACCTTTAACGCTGGCAGCATTTCCTCGCTGTATTGCGATACTTATTCGTTGAGCGAGGAAAGCACCACTCTGCAGCAAAGCTCTGGAGTCACCGGTACTATCTACAAGGCGCCAACTTAAATCGTTAATTAGCGCCTGTGACATGTAAAATTCAGGTTTATCAGTAAAATATTGTTTATACGTAATTTTAAAATAATCATATATACTTTTTACTTTTATCTTTAATACTAATAATTCTTATAATTTTATTTTTATTATGTAGCTGGAGCAACTTCGAATCATTTATCTGTCCTATTTTTTTTAAATTAATAACTATAAATTAGTAAATTGATAACAGTTAACGCCGTGGAGAGTTCATTTGCGTAAATATATGCAACGTGACAAGTAAGTGCGATCAATCTTTAAGTAATATATGAAATGGTGGATTAGATAAAACCCAAAAGCTACTAGGCCTCTGATAACGCTATATCAACATTTAGCATCGATTTCTATTTATCTCACAACCGGCCTGTCCCTAGAGCGTCGTACACACTAACTCAATCACCAATGAAAAAGAACAACAATCTGTAAAAATACTGGAAGAGGCCTTATGTTGGACATGTGAAGTAAATAGACTCGCGTTTATATATATATTAAAGATCTTAATCGATCAATCATAAGCATTTATATGACGCACACAGCAAAACACCGCTTATATGATTGCAATAGTGTTGTTAATTGTGTGATTTAGCAAATATGTGATATAAATCAGCGGCCTCAGATTTCTATATTTGTTTCATGATAATTTGTTAATCTAATAGGCAAGTAGGTGACCAGCCTCCTGTGCCTGACGCACGCCGTCGACTATTGGGTCTAAGGTTTTTTCACGATGTTTTCCTTCACCGTTCGAGCGAATGTTAAATGCGCACATAGAAAAAAGTCCATTGATGCACAGCCGAGGATCGAACCTACGACCTCAGAGATGAGAGTCGCATGCTGAAGCCACTAGGCCAACACTGCCCTATGTGTTTGTGATATATTACAGAATATTTCGAATAAAAAACCTATAAGTTGTGAAGATTCTAAAGTGTTATTTTAATATAACAGGGGCAGGAGGCTTTTCTGAAGATAAATGATACCTCTGCCCATGAACACTCTCAATCCCAGAGGGCTCGCAATTGCGTTGCCGGCCTTTAAAAGTACTCTTTTGTGGTGTGTAGGAATAAAATAATTAGCATATCTAGAAATCTAAGATCGATGTATACAGCCAATGTTATTGATCGCGGAGGCTGACGAGAACGCAGATAGAATCGTGATGAAAGCCTTCTTTACGGGCTTCGGATACGTTACAAATCACGTGTGTTTGTCTGTTTGTTTTTTATTTACTAGCTTTTGCTTTCAGACTCTCTTGCAAGTAAAGC